ATTGCCAAAAAAGATCCATTTCTTACCACAAGTCACTATTCAATCTTGAAATGGATCATTTGAATTTCAAAGGTGCAGCATCGGACACACTTAAAAACACTGAACTCTTTGACTTTCACTGAGTTCATGAGGAATCCAATTGTCAAGTTTCTACACCTTGCCAATTTTCTTGATGGTTTGTGATATGTTCTGGAAAGGGATATATTTGTTGGAAGTAGCAAAGTGGTTATTGACTACTGTAACTGGGTAGGACAATCTATCAGGTAACTGTAATGGACTGGTCCTCGTCGTAGTGGTAGGCAATAGATGTCGTCCTGTACCTCCACATCAGTCTGTATTTATGGCTGACACCAGCCAATCATATTACTGTGAGGGGGAACCCAGGTGTATGCATATTCATTACATCAGTTTGATACTGTTGAAATGCTGACACTCATTCTGAGATTTTTTTCCTGACACTTTGACATAGGCTTTATTCAACTAGTGTTTTCAGATGTTGATTGTCAGTTGCAGATAGATATCCTCTACGACCTTGATCTTCAAGACATATCTCCACTGCAGAATTTCAGAAACTAGCACCATACTGCCCAATCACAAGTGGATCCTCCACCCTATGCTTTGTTAATGTTGGCAACAATTTGAGAAGCATTATGACTAAACTTGAACTCCTACAAAAAAATAAACGTATCTCTTCCTTTTCCATGTTCAAGATGAGTGGTATATATTTTAAGTTAAATTCTGAAAGAGATTGATATAAAATTAAGTGAAAGGACACTTTAATCGTTAGGAATGAGTAATGTATTTTTGTGCTACTCTATTATAATAATAGAACACAAAAGATTTATTCTAAAATCAAATATTATTTTACCCACAACCATATAAAAAAATGAATTTCTACATATTTATGCTATCATAAAACTATCACATTATTAAAATTCCGAAATGGTTTTTAAAAAAAATATAAAATTTAAACTGTCATGAATCTTTCAAATTTATACATTTTTTTTTCAATTAATTAAAATGAATAAAGAAAATAAAAAATTTAATAACAATCACATTAACAATGTATAAGTAAAAAGAAAAAAATTCGAGTTCGATCCTTGCTGTAATCAGGTCAATATTGCAAATATTTCTAGTTGACATAAATTTTGATTTTAAATATAAATGATTTAGAAAGTGTGGGAAATTTGTTTTTAACATTAAGCTTCCAGGCTCGAACCTAGGTTAGCTGGTTTGAAAAAAAGAAAAGAACTACGTATGTATCAAAGCTTTTCCACACGAACAACATTAATTTAACTGTAACAAGTTGTTTGTAAACAAATATTAAAAATAAATTGCAACTGAGAAAGGGAAAAATGTGTTAAAAAATGCATCAAACTATTATTATTTTTTAAATTTAATGGCGCTCACTAAAGTCATCAGAACATTTTTATGGGGCGGGGGGAGGTAAAAGTTTTCAACTTATTTTTTTTCACCAGTGGTTCAAATCGGACAACCGGAAAAATAAAATTGATTTTTTATTATTTATTGTATATTAAATAAATATTTATTTAAAAATTATTAAATAACTTATGGATATGATTTTTTTTTTTTTTTTATTAAAAATTAAAATAAATAACAGATCATAAAAAGATTAAAATTTAATTTAAAATGTGTATTGTTTTAAAATATATTACTAATTTTAATTTTGTCAAAGAAAAATTTGTCTGTTTAAATTTGTCCAGTTTATTGGAAAGATTTTAGAAGTATATTGGAGACGAGCGATGTTTGTTTTGTTGAAAAACAAAAAACGTAGGCTCGGTCCCAACAGGATCGTTAAGCTATATTTTTTAATTAAAAATGTGACAAACAAAATGAAATTTAATTCAGGAAAGTAAAATTCTATGAAAATATTCTCTCTTTGAGGATACATCCCATCTTTAATGATTCTGACCATAAAAGTAAACTTTTTACTTGATCTCATATTGCGGACATATTTAGAAGGAAAACTTTAAATACCATTTTTTTTTCAGTGACAAAAATTGCTAGAATACTTTTGAAAATTTAATAACACCTCGAATAATATTCTTAAAGACAAAATCAAAAATGAGTAAGAAGAGTGATTTTAATTAAAAATCCCAAAAGGCGATGTGTTTGGTCACGTGACATTCCGAAATTAAAAACAAAAAAAGACAAAAACGTATATGACCAAGACAAACAATTTACAAGCAAGTTTTGTAGTAAATTTGCTTTAAGTATCAACTAAATTCGCGTATTTTTTTGTATGATGACGAAATTCAGCAAATTGTTGTCGAAAGTTTTTAAATAAAAATTCGATTTGCAATATGAGACTTGGAAAAAACCTGTCCTTGGCGATTGTTTTTATTTTATTTTTTATTCGATTGTTTATCTATTTTCCTTATAATTTATGTTTTTAAATGTCTACGTCTGGTTTTTACTATTACGATGTCAAAAGACAAAGGGTTATTAATTCTGTTCTCGGTTTTTAATTTGGTGTGTTTACTGTGTTACTTGGCCAAAAAAAGTACCATTTTATTTTTTGTTTTTGTGCATGCGGGAACGCCCGATTTCGAACTCATACTTTAATTTTTGGTATTTGATGTTTTAAAAGCCTTTTATTGTTACAGAAAGTTTCCACGGGACAATTTTACAATAATAAAAACAAAAAGTAATTAAAAAAAAAACGACTTGTAACGTTTTTTTTACCTGATCTTACATTTCGAATAATGTCTTATTTTATAAGTTAGTTTAAGGTACCAGTTTTATTACATCTCAAAAATGTTAATAATGATATTGAAAGCTATAAATGTAGAGTGTTTTCAATATCAGATTAAATATTTAATTAATTTATTTTTTATTCAATATTTTTTAAGCAGGTGTTATTTTTAAATAATAATAATTATAATAAAAATTAAAGAGATTAGGGTTATCTGCTCTTGTTTTCTTGTTATTTTGTGGTTGTTTGGTCAGGCCAACAGGCGGCGCTATTTGTACCCAGAATGCATTGAGCAGGGCATGCGCTGTTCAATCCGAGCACAACCTAAGTCAGTTCGGACGTCGAGGTAGCGATACGTGTGCAAGGAACGAAGCACCCTGAGAAATCTGGGCAGAAGCAATCGACTAACTCCACGAAATCCATCAGCAGAATCACAAGACGACGAAACGCTACAAAATACATTGAACGTATCCAGAGACAGGCGAGAAAAAAAATATCATCCCTTTATTTTTTTTTTCTAATTTCTGGTATATATACCTTTCCCCCCTCTCTTTCTTTTATTACTCTCTTTTTCTCTTTGCTTTGATACTCTGCCTCCCCTTCATATTTTTTTTGGTACGCCTCTCCCCCCACTCTCTCTTTGATTTCATTATCTTTTTCTCGCGTCACCCTCTTTCTTTGTGGCTTAGTAATCACACTACTCTCATAGACTTTATATATGTAAGGGAAAGCGATATATAGAATTAGTGAATAGTTTTATATTTTTTTCCTCTTACTTAGACTTATATTGGTCGGATGATTTGTAGCCGGGCGCTACTTGTTAATGTTTAGCTGACAATTTTTCTTCTCTACCCCTAGACTTTTACAATTTATTTACACATAAATAAATATTTTAAAGTATAAACTTGGCAATAATTACAAATACATATTGTAACTTTTTTTTATTTTATTTTTACAAACTATTTATTTACACTTTAAAGTTTTTCATTAACCAATTTCCAATAATTGATATTTTAATTACCCTTTTTAATTGATTTCTGTTTTCTTTCCATTGTAAAATATTTTCTTTTCATCTAAAATAAAACACGCTTCATTGAAATCATTTAGTTTATATAAATTTTAGTTTTAAGCGTGTTATTAAAAAAAATATTTGATTTTTCAAAGAGAAGAGGAGACGTGTTTATTTGGATACCAATTTTAGAAAACCTCAATCGTACCCTTTCGCCCCCCTTTTATTACTCTTGGTGGTTCTACCCGGGGGGGTCGGGGTTTAATTTTTCTTTTAATCATTATTTACATCTCGGGGGTCTGTGTGCGATGGCCATGACTGTCATGCCCAATAACTACTCTTATAAATGTATCAGTTGCCAAAGTTCCAATAATTCGATAAGTACCATTATTTATGGCATTTTCTCTGATTTTGTTCATTTAAAATCTGCCCAATTTTACTTTTGCCTCAGTGATCGTCACAGAAAAAACAGTTTAAGTTTCACTCCAGGCCCATACGCCACTACCTGGCCCTAACAGAGACTAGTTTCATGCACATATAAAATTTAAAAAAATAAGAAGAAAGTATTAGTCTAGTGTACAAGTAATATATACTTTTAAAATATATATATTTTTAAAGAAAAATAAAATTTAAAAAAAAAATTAGTTAGTTTTTAAGGAACCCTTATCAAGAAATCTGACCCCTGCCCTTAATTCAACATCTCACCTGCCCGCACGAATATTTTTTTTAAGATTTTTTTGTTGTTTTTTTATGGATATTTTTAAATTTGCAACTTTCCATTTCATAGCTAGATGAATGAAATTTTTACCTCTCCAATAAACCCGTTTTATCTTAAAGCTCTTGAAAATCTGTGAAAAAATGATTATCTATCTAGAATTGTTTTCAAAGAGAAAAGGAAAGTAATTTTTCTCCTGCATTATAAAAACTATTACAAACAAGAAAATACAATTCTCTCTATTGCATCAATTACTATTTTTAAGTTAACCATTTTCACTTTCCACAAACTATCCTATATATATTTTTTTTGTATTTCCGACGAACACTTTGAATCTAACTTGTCCTTTATTGTCCACCTTTAACAATTAGGGTCGCCCCCTTATTAATATGAGTGCAGTTGAATTGAAGACATCCGTGAAAACCCAATTTGACCTGAAGGAATTAAAATGCCTAAAACCTGAGTCTAGTACATTGTCAGGAGGTACCGTCAAAACTGCAACACCCAGCGGTAGACCAATGGGTGATCTCGAGAACAACAGAGACCCTCAGCGCTTCAATATGGATGAAGACAAAAGCAAGCTGACCAAAATGGACAAATTCTCCTACCCGGTCCACCGGAAACGTTCCCGTTACCTGAGTCAGTCACGAACAACGGATAACCATCATAACAAGAAAAGACGGAAAGGAATCGAAAAAATAATTTTGCCAACCAAGTTCCTCCTCGGGGGTAACATCAACGACCCGTTAAATTTGAACAGTCTTTGCGATGAAGAAGTAAACAGGGCTCTAAACGAACGTACACCTCAATCCTCTCCGATCCCGACCCCGGCACATAGGAGGGACGTGACTCTAATAATGCCACGGAACCAATTTGATCCCTTAAATCTCAACGAGCCTGACATGGAAAACGAACCGCTGACGCCGGCTAAGATATGTGCAAAGCGAAAGAAACGGCATAAAAATCGTAAAAAAAATGACCCCAACATTGAGAACACCGGCGCTCCGACAACCCCGCTAATTACAAAAGAATCTGAGAAAAAAAAGCACCTGGCCGAGGCTCTGAAAATAGAGATTGATGACACCGCCTCGACAACAGTTGTTCCGTCGGTGAAGGGGCCTCCCCAAGACAAACCAAAGACACCGCAGGTTCCAACATCGTTGTCTATGAGTGGCACTCTACTGTCGATGACTGGTGGTTCCACCACAAACAGTGAAGTTGCCGATACCCCCAAAGTGAAACCCGAAAACAAAATTGTATCCCCTGTTATCCCTCAGCTGTCCCCAAAGAACCGAAAACGACGCCAAACAAGTATCTGTGAGGGTAGATCTTCAGAACAGAATCCGGTATCCAGCAAGAACATCAACCGCTCTGAGAGCTGCCCTGGGGAAATCAACAAGACAGCATACCCCCGGAAAAATCGACGGCGACACAGCAACCGAGGCAGTGGAAACAAGAAAGGTCAGGTCGCGAAATCAAAATCCTATCGTTTCATTTATGGTAACTACAACCGTTACTATGGCTACCGTAACCCAGATGAACACGATTCGCGTACCAATGCGTTCAAACTGGAATGGTTTGAAGGTAAGAAAGTGCTGGACATTGGTTGTAATGTTGGTCACCTGACCCTGTTTGTGGCTCGGGACTTCAAACCACTAATGATTCTTGGCCTTGATATTGATGGACGGTTGATATCAGCTGCCAGGAAGAATATTCGCCATTATTTGATTCAAGATGACCAGAACAAATACCCGAACTCATGTAAGTTAAGCTACGGTCCATTGGCCGCACCGGTGAGACAGGAGGCCAGACATACGGTTTTCCCACATAATGTTACATTTGCACAGGTAAGTTTCATCACAGGTAAGAACTGTGTTTGTTTTTTCTTTTCTACAGTAAAGGCTGTCAGTAATTTAGAATATTTGTATGTAATTAAATGATGTATCTAATTTTAAATTAACAAACAGGAAAGTATTTTTGTGTATGTGTAGAAGGGTTTCCTCAAAGTTATTCCTAAGGGTACCTACTCTGGTCTTTTTTTGTTACTTCACACCCAAACAAGGCAATAAAACCACTAAGACGCAGTGGCTTACTGAATGAAAGACTATTCAAAACTTACTGTATGTATTTTTATCTGAATTTTTGGGATGAGGAGTTATCATTTTTACACTATGTATATTCGGACTTTTTTTTTTTCTCTTTTTTCACAACGCTGTTGTTCCCTCCGACCTCCCTCTGGTGTATATCTGTTCCCTCTAGGTTGCCCAGATAGATATACACCTGAGGAAGACCGCTGCTGCAACCTGTCGAAACGTTGTAATAAAAACAACAAAGATGAGGATGTATGTATGTTAATTTCTAAGTAATTAAGAAGGGATTTTGTTTAATTTTTTTTTTTTATTACCAAAAGTGTCATTTAGTAGATATATACTACGTGTTTGGGTAGGCATCATTTTTCTTTATTGTTCTAAGAAAACCAGGCCGAAAAACGTCCATTACACCGTTTTTAAAAAAAAAACAGATGTTTACTCAAAAACGTGTATCAACTAAAAATAACATTTATAGTAATAAGTAATTTGAAATATATTTCTCCTCCCATCAGTATTTTGATAGATGTAATCTTCAGCCTTTCTAAGATGTTTGTTACATCTCTAGTCTTTTTAAAAGCTATAATTTTTAAAAAATGTTTATTACTGCCTAGTAAATCCAATAGAATTACAGATTACTCGTATTAAGAAAAAGTTGTCACTTGAGTCCTGTCTGTTAGTTGATATCTATTGGGCACTAGGTGTAAAAAGTCTTTTGGTGTGGGAATGGTTATGGTGCTATGAATTCAAAATGGATTTGTGTTGTTACAGCATATGGTTGAATAAGACCAACATCTATATCAACAAAAAAAAAAAAAAAGGAAGCAATATTTTGAACAATAAGAACTCTAAAAACTTTAATGGTGGAGAAAGACTTAGTTCTGAAAGTCAACATTAAAATAATGACAACAACAAAAAAACATCAAAGTGCAAAGTTAATTGAAACATTTAAGTTCTATGTAGGTCTCTGTATGATTTTGATTTGGAATATTGTGAAATTATTCATTAAAAATACCTGAACTCTAAGTAGTTCTGATAAGTACTAATTCAAAATGTTTCTTTGTGCTGAATAATTAAGAGATAAAAGAAAGTCATGTCTCTTAAAGTATTTTTCTGTCACTGTGTGGCACTGATTTGGGGAAACAAAACTATTGCAATGTAGCAATGAAAGGCATGAACCTATTGGTAATGCATTCAAAGAGTATCATGTATAGTAACAATTACGCACCAGTTTTGTTTTGAGATTCTTTTCTTAATAAATATATATACTTTTTTATTTTAATCGTTTTTAAATTTGTCTATAACTGAGAAGATTCATTAAAAAACAAAAAAAAAACAAATACTCAAAGCTTTATTCAAACAATTAAACATCATGTGATGGTTGTGTTTAGTACAAGATACAGCAGAAATACCTCCCACATGATGGTAAGACATTAGGCAGATGAAAAAGCTATTGCCACTAATGTCTTACATTTGGTAGGTATTTCTGCTGCACACTGTATAATGGTTTGGTCAATCCATTCTATGGCCTTCTTCTAGTGAATAATCTGTAAGAAAACATTGTCGTAAAAAAATAAATCAACAAGTGTTCAAACAGAACTTCTTCATTAATTTTTTATATCAATTTACTTGATAATTATGCAGATTAGGTTGAATAGGTCAGTATTGGAATTTGAGACCAGTAAGCCTGTATCTAGCAGATAAAAAATATTACAATCAGCAGTTGAAAAATAAATAAAACAAATATCAACTGGATCCCTAAAGTAGTAATATTATTATTATTATAAACTTACAAAGGTAAATCAATAATTCTGTAGCCTAATGAAGAGAAAGTAATTATTTTACACAACAAATACAAATATTTACTTTTATACTTCCATTATCGGTTGCAGTGCCAAATATTAATTCTTAAAGTCAATGACTCAAAAATACTAAGTGAGGTGTTTTTGGCTGTTCAGTATTTTCACCGGCCTCTGGTTGCAGTTGTCATGTGTCTACTAGAATGCGATATTTGATGCATTCTTCTATACACACACATACACACACACACACACAGGTCTGTGGTTTTCTTGGCTGGATGTTTTCTTGAAGGCAAAATGATGCATAAAAAGAATAAATGCCGGTGTAAAAATTGCCAACAGTTTAATACCGTAGGCTGTCAAAGGTTACAATCACTCTTGGTTAATCTTTTACAGAGATGTCAAGATATCAAGAATTGTTAACTGCAAAGTCAGACATTTGTGTATGTGTGTTGGATTTCCTTCCAGCTTGAGGAGAGAAGAATAGAATGATGGCTTTCTCTCTCAATGCAGCAAGCAAATGTCAGGCGTGATCTGACTGCAACCATGTGCTTTGACTTGTGAAGATATTTAACATTGATGGATACTATCTTCAAACAAAGAACTTCATATTAACAATATTCTAAACACAAACTACTTTCAACCACATACGGTGTATAATTGTAAAAAGATATGGTGTATTTAAAAGTGCCTTTGGTCAGATTCTGGCTGGATAGTTTGCTAAATAAATACTTCCTAGATTCGTCTTGCAGAATTTTGATAAGCACATAACTTGTCACGACAATTTACTTGGGGGTGAGAAGTGGGCTAGATAAACTTCACTTGTACTGAATTTACTAAATCTTACTAGGTTTATTTTGGATTCAATCCCCACTGGCCCTTTCCTAATAAGCATTTTACAGACTGGTTAATATTTTTAAACTAAAACTTCTTCCATCAGGTTCCAGTTTGGTTAACTAATCTTATATATATATATATATATATATATATATATATATTAACAGACAATGAATCTATTATATTTGATCATGTGCTGTTCTAAACTTTGTATAGTGGCTTTAGCATCAGGAGAAAATAATGTCAAAAACTGTCAAACATTTGGATCTTTTTTTTTTTTTTTTTTTTTTTTTTATTATGCTGTTCCTGCTTCCGGTCCCCGTGAACCATCATCAGAGTGATTATATGGACATTACAACAGATGCTCACCCTCAAAGATGACATCCAAAACTAAAGCCACTATACGAAGCTTAGAACGGCACATAATCAAACATAATAGACATTCGTTGTCTGTTATATTTAACAATATATGTTTGAATAATTATCTGCTACCCCAATACACTATCTCATATATAAAATTTCCTCACTTGGTATTCTTATTCCTTCACTTTGAATTCTTAACTCTCTCAATACCTCATGTCACTGAATGACATTTTTGTGCATTACTTTCTCAATTCAGGCCACTGTGCTTTTATACTTTTTCAACATAATCTCCTTCCTTGCCAATGCCCTTAATTTAGGAGTGAAAATGTCCTACTTAAAATTGGGCTGATAGCTGTTTCAGGCTATAGACTTTTTAATCTCCCCTCATAATAAATAAAGACATAACTATCCTGCAATACGACTTCATGCAAATTTTTCCCTGTAGGCACTTTCAGTCTTAAGGAAATTTGGTGTCAAGAAGAGCATTTGGTTATGTTTTTTATCAACCATTTTTGCATTAATTCAAAGCTGAAGCATTATGGGTTGTAAGGACCCCAAATAACTGGGGGGGTGAGTTCGTACCCTTTCCCAAGGGTATTTGTGCATAAGGGATCATAACAAATTCAACTGGAATTCAAACTCAGTTCTCAGATTTCTCATTCCGAGTTGCTATCCATTATGCCACTGGCACATTTGCATTTGGCGGATAAAATCTAAATCTATTAATGGGAACATTCAGGCTAAAAAAAGATTAATGGAAAGGTAATAAATGTAAAGACAAGCTAACACTTTGCATTAAGGAATGATCTTTAGACCCATTCCACCCACCACTGCCCCAACCCTACTCAATGTTCATCTTTTAATTACCTAACACACACTAGCAGAGTTGAAATATCCTGTTGCTTTGTAATTTATGACTAGTATTTCTTTCATCTTAGTTTGTGATTGCCAGATATGACAACCATTTTGTTAATAGTGATCTGGAAAATTTCAATAAAGAGCAAATGCTACACAAAAATAGACAAAACTTCATCTTAGAAATTTGTATAGTTTTCACATCTTACTTTCTGATAAAATGAACAAACGATATACATTGGTCGATCAATAAGTCTGTAGTTTAATAATCCCGGGGAAAACGATTTTATCCAATAAATTATATACTTTTCAATAATAATCTCCATCCTTGTCAGTGCACTTAACTCATTACTTCTCATAGATCCCACATTATGCAGGTTTTATTTAAAGATTCAGACTACAGATTTATTGATCTATTCTTGTATGTTCAACTCGAGTGCCATAACTCAAACTTGGCCTTTCACTTTGAAATGAAATAAAATCCTATTCTTGAGGCCAAGTCAGAAAAGGATAAAATGAAAACCATTGGAATGTATATTAACCCATTGATAGCCACACCCCAAAAATGGGATGGTGGTGGACATTAATTATGTTGTTATAAATAGGAAACTTTAAATAACAATAAGCTTATAAATAATAGAGAATTTTTTAATTATTATTTTGACCTTATAATATTTTGATTTTCATAATATTTTATGGTGAATATTAATGTGCACCCCCCTTCTCTCTCTCTCTCTCTCTCAATTAAAGCAGCTTCCAGTAGCATTGAGAGTAACCGTTTTTAATTAGTGGTACCAAGTTTGGTTTCTGATACTGGGGTCTGAATTTGCTGTTCTTTCAGTGATTATATTTTGTATACACTGGTAATCTCTTCTGTTTCAGACTTCTTTTTTTTTTTTTTTATAGTGAAATTATAAATAAAATAAGAATATTTATATATTTTTATAACTGATTGTCTGGTTCATACTCATCTTAAAACTTTTGAACTTATTGAGTTTTCCAGTTCCTCCTTTACTTTCAGACTATACTTCTAAGTTTAAAATTCATACTATTGTTGGGATTCTGGCTCCTAAAGTCCTTTCCTCTTTCACAAGCCTCTTTGTGTCTTAGTGGCTTTATTGCCTCGCTTGGGATGAATTGATTAAAAAAAAAAATTACTCTAAAGTTTCCTGTGTGCAGCTTGGATTTTGTGTCATATGACTAAAATGTGTATTACCTGCCTTGAGATTACAATTCTGTAAGAATTTATCTGTTATAAATTTATGTTCAAATTCTGGGTATGGATTTTTGTGAATTAGGATTATTTGGGAGTTAGCTTGCCTTGGCTTTTTTTTTTTTTTTCTTCATGAAAAATTTGTAATTTTGCTCGTTACAGTTCATTTAACAAAACCTATTTCCAATTTAAAGTTTACAAGACAGTTTAGGTTTTTTTTAAAAAAAAATCCTTTCTGTTGAAGTACCCAAATAAAGTTAACATAAGACTATAAATTTTATTTTATCAGTGGCAGTTGTATTAATTCCTGACTACTCTTTTGTGTGCGTGTTCAACAGAATAAGTTTTGAAACCTGCTTAAAACAAATTTTCAACCCAAAATTGCAAAATTCAAGCATGAGTTTTTTTTTTTCCCTACTATCAGACATATTGCTACAAAACCCAAATATTAACCCAAGAACTGAAACCTCATCAGCTGTAGACTCTCATATGGAAGTTATGCATGACATCCAACCCCTTCAGGAATGTCCATACTATCAACCATTTTATCAGATCAATGATTCAAAATGGCTCCAAGCAATGAATCCTCTAGGTCAGTGGTGTCCAACCACTGGACTTGGACCATTTGGTATCAGGCCACATAGAAAGAATAAAAACTGTTTTTATTTTTTTTTATCTTCTGTTTTATTGACTCTTGCCGACTTGTTTACTGGGTTTTGTTGTGTGTGACAACACTGCCCCTACCCTTGATCCATAGAAAAATTGTCTTGAATGACATCAAACCATGGCACAAAATGATTGAGGGCTGCTGCTCTAAGTCTTAAAGAAAACCTAGACCTTCAAACCCTATAGACTAGCTTTACAGACTCACAAAGAACTTTACCGAATAACAAGAAGCATCTTGAATACTTCAACCAGCAACAACTAATATGAATAGCATGTGTAACTAGAATGGGGAAAATGATGATATAATCAAGATGTCAACTTTCCACACTACTTTAGACAAAAGGTTAGGTAGGAAACTCCCATCAATGCTAGAAAGGGCGATAATAGAAGCCTATTTCCCCGGAAAAAACTTTTTTAATAAAAAGGTTTCATAAATTTCAACCGACAGCAACAGGTTCGGGCAAACTGCTAAATTATTACCGAACTGAGGAGTTGAGAATATGTTGGTCAAGGGAGATAACTATTGAAGTCTAATTTTAGAGTGCTATCCCTTGTTTTTCACGCCAAAAAAGAATAGTCCCCCATGTTTTTGTTTTTTTTTTGGCCCTGCATAAAACAGATAATTTGCGGAAGATCCAACATTTTTTTTTTCTCCCTCTTGCCTACTTTTCACTCGAAGGGTGGCCTTACAAGGATATCTCAAAAAGTCTCGATTTATTTGTTCGTATGAAGCATAAGTAGTTGTGAACTACTTCTCAATTAAAGATATAGTATTAAATTAATGTACCTCTAAAATCTGGTAAATTAGAGAATAACGATTGCTCAAACAACCCCAACATTTCTCTCTTAGGCACGCTGCTGTGACACCAGAAAATTATAAAACAGATCTTTATTCGCATGTTGAAATGGGAGTTTGACGAGGAACGTGGGTATTTCTAAGGGAGATAATGAATGCATTAAAAAAAAATTGTGGGTGCAAAAAAATAAGCCCCCTTTTGTTTATAACCCCCTCCTCCCACTATATATATATATATATATATAATATATAAACATGCACTAACATTTTATATGGGAGAGAGAGCAACACATGACATACCTCGCGGACTTAAACAAGTGGATGGCAGTGTGGTCTGGGGTAGGTGGCAGAAGGGCAAAACTTATTGAGAGCTATAGGGGGAAGTGGAGAGCCATGATTGCCTACAGTCGGTAAAGTTATGAGAATCTGACAGAATGGTAAATTATATAAGACAATTTGTAAATTTTAACTTTCAATGTTTCGCTGATAATCTGGCATCATCACAAAAAATAATGCTGTCAAATTATTGGCAAAAGATGTCAAAGTAAAACTTACCCAAATTGTCTTATATTTACAATATGTCTTGAGGATCTAGACTGAAAAAGGGGGGAAAAAATTGGCATGGGGTAGGGGACAATTATTTTGGCATAGTTTACTCGTTTTAACCATTAAAACATTCTGCTTGTTGAAATACAAAAATGTGGATGAGCTGATAAAATTCTTTGTATAAAGTTCCTGCTTTTAGGAAAATGATAAAAATTAGAAGAAAATATCTTTTTTTTTTTTTTTTTTTATTTATTTATTTATTTTTACTGTTTCCATTTGCAGGGCAGTTATGTGCTGGAAAGTGACGAGCTGCTGGAACTACAGAAGCCTGAATATGATTTGATCTTGTGCATGAGTCTAACAAAATGGATCCACTTGAATTGGGGAGATGCAGGGTTGAAACGATCCTTCAAGAGGATGTATCGTCAATTGAAGCCAGGAGGCAAATTAATATTTGAGCCACAGTCCTGGAGTTCGTATAAAAAGCGCAAAGGACTCACAGTAAGCAAGCTTTTTTTTTTTTTTTTTTTTATTTATTTATTATTATTAGTAGTAGTAAAACTGAGAGTTTGAATCAAGTGACTAGATAGCATAACCAAAGATCCAGTTAAAAAACAAATAAGAAGCAGTATTATAATTTGGTTCTCTCATTTCTTGTTTGCCAGGAATATAATTAGCCCTGACACCAACGACTTGGAAACTACTTAAATAAACTGATTAACTCATATTAAAATAAGAATTTTTTTTTATTTTTTTTTTTTATTTTATTTTTTTATAAAAGCGCATACACAAACATTAGAGGATAATAATTATTTATCTTAACTGAAAGACGATCAACAGATATTAATAGAATTTTTTTGTTCTTGGGGAGGGTGTTGGCAAAAAAGAAAAGAAGAAAAAAAAACTTTGAGAATCAAGGATTGATTTGGCATTGTATTGGTATTATGAACAAGACCCCTACTACTAAAAATATTAAAAATTAATAGTTTTTGATTTTAACAAATGACATGTTAATCTGTAAAATAAATACCCCCCACCAAAAAAAAAAAGAAAGAAAAAATTACTTTTTGTCTGAGTAGGCAAGAGTACTCAAGTGTTGTGACTTGCTATATTATCTGGTTCTTTGATTGGGTGTGAATGCTTGCAAGTTAATATAAAGAAATAAGTCAGCCAGGCAGACTAGTTTTGGAATGATGTACTAATCTTTGTATAAAATAAATAGCTTGCTAAATCATTTGGGACTAGAATCCTTTCCCCTATCCCCAATTAAGCAAATTTTATATTTACAGATATATATATATCTTGTCAACTGCTCCAGAACAATAATTTCTTTGCCTTCATCACTACAAATTATTTTGAGTTTTTATCCAGTACCCATGAGATTTTTTATACAAGACGACCTAGAATATAGAAATTTCTTGTGAGATATTTTTGTCAGCTACTCATCAATGGTTCAGTAAGGTATCTGCATAGTGCTTTAATGTTTGTTACATTGCAGATACTGGTTGCTAATCCAACGGGTACCATGCACTGCAACATAACTGCCTGAATCTGGAGCAGCTCCCATTTCTGCAAAAAGATCAAAGCTGCTAACCCAGCCTGTTGTCACTTGAATTTAAAGAAACCATATGTGAAGGTTTTAATCTCAGCCTGTGAAGGTTCTTGTTAGATGTAGACCCAGATTTACGAGGAGGAATGAGCCATTACCCTACCCTGGGACAGATGTGACACGCTTGGGCAAACATGTCTCTTTTTGATTCCTGGGCATCCGGGGGTTTATGCGCGTAAGTGAATGTAACAAACCCAGCTGGAATTTGAACTTGGCTCTCCAATTTCTCATTCCAGGCAGTCGTCCATTACACCACCTGCACGTCCTAACTTACAGCACCTGGTATTCCCGAGTGTACCAGGCTATATGTTGCTTAACCCATTAGCATTCAACACTCTCAAACCCTTTCCGTTAATATCGGCTGTCAGTCTCACTGTTTGTGTGACTTCCTGCATCATTTGTGATGATTTCATCATATATTATAGCAGGATATACATGGAGCAGGTTGAATATTTGAGAGCCAATATTTACAGGGCGAGTTGGATGCTAAAGGGTTAACTTCAGTAATCCTATAAGAACTGGTGCAGATTAATGTTTTACAATTGAAGAAAATAAAATTTCCTTTTTAATAATAATAATAAAAATCCTGAAAGGGAAAATTTCAAATCGTTTTATTTTTATTTTTTTAGGAAACTATCTACAACAATTTTTGCAACATTAAGCTCAAACCAGAAAACTTTGCAGACTATCTCACTTCACCTGAGGTTGGCTTTTCCAAATACGAGATTATAGGTGTTCCAGTCAATAAATCAAAAGGTTAGTGGCATTTGTACATACTTAGCTACAATGTTTTGTTTTTTATTTATATGTGTTTTTTGTTTTTGTTTTTTTTAAATTGGTATCAAAGCCACTAAGAACCAAAGGCTTACAAGGTGTGGAAGAATTAGGAACAGACTCATTTAATAATGAAGAGGAAAGAGTAATCAGGAGGACAATAGATTGTGTTTGACATTGCATTTAAATTTTTGAAGATCAAAGTTAACTGGAGAGCATCGTGCTGGAAGAGAGAAGTCACGAAAACAAAATGTTAGCATAAAATTTGCAGTTACATTTAGCGGCCAGCTCACCTGTAAATTTGATTAGATCTCAACACCAGTCTAGTACTGCACTTAATTTCAAAAAGTCTAGTTGTCATAGTAAAGAGCTCATCTGAACAATTACCATGAAAGTATTTATAGAAAAGGCACAGAGGCAACTTTATGGTGGTGGAAAAGTGAGTGAAGTAGAGCTGCCAGATCAGGACCCATAATGTTACTGATTCTTTGGATTTTATCAAGGAGCTTAAAGTAAATAGCAGAGACACCAGACCATATGTGGCAGCAATATTCTAAGCCTGGGCAAATGGTAGAATTATAGATAGTAGATATTTTGTAGATCATAAAGTTGATTTTTTTTTTTTTTTTTTTTGAGTATTTGCCCATAGCTAAGGCCCTAACAGGTCCTACCATCTTGAATCAGGGTGGAACTGGAAACAATAGCAATTAAGAGGTGGCTCCATGCTCGTAAAAACCTCCAACCTATTTTCCAAAAAATGGGCCAGCACAGCCAGGCAACAATGTCATAACAGAGCAGCAGCGAAAGTATTGGGAGTCTGGTGGTATTGCTTTCCCTTCTCAGACCCCCCAAATTTTTTTTTAAATGTTCAAAAACTAATTTTTTTTTTTTTTTTTTTTTTTTTTCTCCTCAGGATTTCAACGGCCTATTTACTTGTTCTGCAAGGATGAAGATGATCCCATGACAATGAATGAATCATCACAGGGTCTTAACAGCCACATCACCACAGAGTTGGTTCCACCTCCTTGTAGTGACAACCCTCCATTGGATTGGTCAGCATCTCAAACATCACACTTTCCAGTATCAGCTGCTGTATCTTTGTCGTCCAGTTCAAAGGATACAACAGACTCAGCCTTTTTAAATGTTCCCACCTCTCATCAAAACACAGAACAGCCAAAACAAACGGTCATGGACTCAAGCCAGGAAAGAGGCGACTCTTCCTTGGCTGGCTGTCAGAAAGTTGCACATAGCAACGCCAACACGAAGGAATCTACATTGGGACTCTCAGAAACATTGACTGCATTGCCACCTCCATCAACGTTGCCGCCACCTCCTCCGCCTTCATCGTCAGATGCGTCATCTTCTCTTGCCATCAATCCTTCATTGTCGTCTTCATCATCGGTCACTATGGAGACAGAAGCCTCTACTCCCACAGCAGAAACTACCCAGAGTTCTAAGGATAACTGAACGTGTGTATGTATGTGTGTGCGAGTGAGTGAGAGAGAGAAAGAAAGAATGACATGACAAGGGATTCTACTCTTGGAGTTGTTTCCCTTTGGTAATGAAATCTCTGTTAGGTCAAGATACATATAAGAATACATGAACTCTTGATTGGAAAATAAACTGTTATAGACAAAATTGATATTATACGCCCATCATTAAAGAAAACAAATGTTAAATAAAAATCCTTGGATTTTAATCATGTTAATTTCACTTTTTAGTTGATTAATTTCTTCAGAAAATCTATATTGAGATTTCCTTAACATTTTATTTTGCTCTTTTTAACCTAGTTTGTTATTTTCAAAGATTTTTACAATACAATTTTATTATTTTTATGCTCACACATAGAGCTAACTATATATATATATATATATATATATATATATATATATATATATATATATGTGTGTGTGTGTTAATTGGTAGTCTGTATGGATAATTCCAGTGAGGATATAAATTCTGAGAGCTTAAAAAACCGAGCAAGTAATAATTAATTAACAAATTAGAGGATTTCTGAAGTCTCAGATTTGTTTGTTATTATATATATAATTGTGTGTGTATTTTTGATAGGATAAAGAACAAATAGGAAATGTTTATGAATGTTTTTGTTTTTCAGTTGTTTATTAATTTCTTCAGAAAATCAATATGTAGATTTCCTTTTTTTAAGCTAGTTTGCTATTTTAAAAGGTTTAACATTAAAATTTTATTTTTACGTGCACACAGGAATAAATAGCTGTGTGTGTGTGTATATATAAAACATTATATTTGACAAATGGAAAATGTTTCATGAAAATAGATTTGATTAAGCACTTCACCATTCAAGGCCTCATCAGATTTGAAAACGGAAGAATGAAATGTCTTTGTGTGTGTGCTTAAATAATGAGTCTCAGTATTTTTTTATTTTTTTCCCTAAGCTGGCATTTCTTGTGATTAAAGAATAAAGAAAATTAGTGACTTTTAAAAAAGCTGTTAATATTTTATTCTGTATCCTTTCTTTATAATTCTTAGTTTGTGTCTAAAGTTGTTAATATATTTTCCCAGTTTTCTTGTATCGAATTAAAGGCAAATCATCAAATTATCAGAATGGCTCAGAAGCAAGAAATTTATTTATCTTTCCTGAAATAAATCCAATGCAAATCCTGATACTATCCTTCTGAATGGGTTGACATGGATAGACTAAAAACAAATTTTTTTTATTTCACACTTTTCATTTGTTTTTTTTGGGGGGGGGTCTGATGAAGCTTTGAATAGAAAATCTATTTTCAGTGGAACATTTTTCCATTTGTCAGATTTTCTAAAAACTTTGCCATGATTGCTGTATCCTGATTTATAAACATATTGTCAACATGGAAAACATACGCAAACCCAGACTGTTGAGTTTCAGGGAAGGAAATAGTGGCAAAAAAAAAAAGAGTGTGTAACACACAGGGATTGGAGTGGTGGTGGTGGGTGTATACATATGATAAAGTCAGTGATTTGTATTGAGGGGTTAAATCTTGTTTCATGGCCTACCAATTCAAGAAAGATTATCGCTTTTCTTACAACTATTTGGTAATGCTAATGAGTTGAAAAGTACAATGTAGCATTAAAAAAATCAATTAGTAAATCTGTAATTTACATAATTCGTAATCATTATTATCATCATCATCATAATAATGTTGTCATCTTTTTCAGGCTGTATGTAATTATGGCTCGCCAGAGTTTCCTTTTCTTTATTACCAGTGAATTACAATGCATTATGAGGGGTGGGGATTGTGGAGAAGCTTATTTCCTTTATTCCCAATTTTTTATTTAAATACTAAAGTGGCTGCCACAAAAAGTAATTTTGACAGACCTTAGTATTATACTTATACCTTAATACCTTAGTATTTCTAATAAGATTTCTTGAATATTCAGACCAGTTAATGGAAATGGATAACATATACTGTATGATAAATGAACAGCATCTACTCAAATATGGGTATCCATTAAAATATGTTGGATTAACCTTTACAACTCTGCAGGCATGTGTCTGCTGGCAATATTCTTTCGCTATTCTACAGGCGAATATGTTTGCCGAGTGTCAAAGGGAAAGTATGTTTCTAAAAGTAACCTATTACTATGGAAATGATGTCATGAAGCTTGTGATATAAACTAGGAATGACCGGATGTCAGCTGTTTTGTCCTAATTTAAATTAGTTGTTTTATCAGCAAATTTTAATAAAGTGCTTTAAAAGTGTTCTTTTTTTTTTTTTTTTTTTTAATATCACAACGGTGACCCCTGGGCTTAGGTGCATATTTGATATGTCAATAAAGGAACTTTTCATGAACAGTGAGAGTGACAAATAATTTCTCAGATTTACCCATGCAGATATTGGTGATGTATGTTACAATGAGACTGAAAGTTATTTCGACCCAGGTGGAATTTTTGAACCATCACAAGCATATGATCACCTGTGGCTATCAGAGCTTTTCTGTAAGAAGTTAGTGAGATAGATATTTTTTTATCTGAAGAAGTTATTTAACTAATGGTAGTGGAAACTAACTGGTGTGCAAACTATATGAAAACAAAATGAGGTGCAACTGCAAAGCCTAACTCTCGGAAGCTTGGAAAGCTTTTGCTTTGAAGAAATTAAAATATTTTTGGCGTTGCTTTTGTTGATAGGTTTGACAAAAGTGACCTTCATATTTGTCTTGCTGGGCAACAGGCTTTCCAATGTGATGAGTAGGAATCGTTTTTTATCAATTGTGTATTCTTTTTGTTTTCTCTGAAAAATTTATGTCCAGTAAAGAAAAATTTCTACATACTTTCATGCAAATACCCTGAAAATTTTATAAGAATACCTCTATAAGCCTAAAAGTTACAGTGATAGTAATATACCAACTATTCAAAAACTTACCACACTGAAAAATTAATATGGACCCAAGGGACACAACTCCGAAAGTTAGTGGCGGATTTGTAAAGGTTAAATGAAAAATCTATTCCTTAAAAAATTGTCTTTGCTTAGTCTCATACTCTAGCGTAAACAAAGATGAATATTTTGACAATCAGGAAAGGTCTGTGTTCAAAAGCACATCAAATCTAATTAACATCTTGGGGAACACATTTTTCTAATAAGATTGCTCAAATATTCAGATGGAAATAAATAAACAGCATCTACTCAAATATGGGTATCCGTTAAAAATAACATTTAAGCAATAAGTTAAAATATATCAGATTCATAAAAGAAATTCTGTTCCCGTGTCATGCTTTTTCAGCTTTATACTTGGACGCTGTAGCCCAACATATACCATTTTGAAATAAGTCCGACTCTGAACAAATTAAAAACATTCCAAGCTGGATCTGGACCCTCAATCCTGAAATTTTGAATTCCCAAGTTTCACTGCAATTGTTTTGGGGAATTTTTTTTGCAACTATTTTTTTTTTTTTTTCTTTGTATGATAATTTTTATAACCTGGAAATAAATATTTGGGAATAATTGAAATTAATTGCGAAAGTCAGCCGTGAAATAAAAAAACAGTTGTTTGTACAGAAAGTATTTACCTGTGTACATCAAATTGTCTTTAAATTAAGTGGCGGCAGAAGAATTATCACTGAACTTTTAAAAGGTAAGCTTAGATATACTTAAAAGCAGCAATCAGTTTTGAGTTCTGTAGTTTATTTATTATCACACCTACTCCTCTCTACCTTTTGTGATGAAGGCCCAATCAAGATCCCTCTGCAGGAGCTCTCTTATTGCTGCTTGATAGGGTTTCTTTTTAAGCTATTTGTTCCCATTGTAGCATACCTACAAATGATAATGGGTATGTTCACATTCACATACTGTATGTTGGTCTGCAGTTAGAGATTTGTTTCCAGCTATGCTGGTCAAACTCTCTGACTCCAGGAAGAGAGGATTCCTAGACAAGTCTGTCAAAGGGCAGTCTCATCTCAGGGAAGCAGCTAGGCAACCCCGTTTAATACAGGGAATTTTTGGCCAAGCCTATGAGCTCACATACCCCACATTAAATTCAGCTTTGTGCCACATCTGATTGTGTGGGGTGGTTGGTAGATATCCTGCAGTTGGAGATTAATTGTGGAATTCACTTGACTTGCTTCTAGCATTTGACTACTTCTATGCGCCACTGGCAACTCTTATATATGTTGTTCTTGTCTTGAGTATTATTCATTACCTAAGTTACAACAGTTCCTTACCCTATCATTCTGTCAGATTCTGATTTTATTTATATATATATATATATATATATATATATATATAATTATAAGAAACAAATAGGAAATATTTATGAATCTAACCTGAGAATGAGAGCTGGAGAAAGGAGAAAAAAATTCTGGTATTTTTAATTTTTGTGTTTGTTTTTCATTGGTTATGCACACTTCACATGCATTTTGTCTTGTAAAACAGTATTTTTGTGTAAGTGTACAAGTGCTGCTTTACCAGAGAGGAATGTGAACCTGTCTACTATTGAGAGAAAAAAAAATTATTAGTCTAAAATTTCAGAGTTCAGGAAACAATAGATAAGCCTCTACTCCTGTTCAAAAGCTTGGGGAGGAGTAACGATTTTCCAAGTGTAGCTTAGATGTGGCACAAGGCCGAAAGTATGGGGCACCCAGTGAGGATCAAACTCACTACTCATTCGTAATTGTGCTAGCGAGACAAGCTTGTTAACCATTACACTGCCTCAGGGTGCCCAAGCATGGGGAGGAGTATGAACCAGATGATGCATTCAAATTTTTTTTTTTTTAATGTGTGGTTATTGTAACTGTTATAGATGCAGAAAGTGAAATTGGTGTGCCATGTTCAATTTCCAGTGGATTTTTTTTTTTGTTCATTTTGTGCTAATGTCCTTGGAAAAGGAATGTATCAATCTTCATCCCGCTATGGGTTAAATAGTAAAGCCAATGAAACTTTCCTTCCTTGAGGTGGCAAATAGGCTCCATCAGGTGGTCTTTCCCTAGACACACCATTTTTACTATGGCTGCAGCACATGTGACACCCCTACAACCCTAAAGACTTATGGGAATTGATTTTTCTTGCAAAACAAAATTACATTTTAAAAAGCAATATCTCTTCAGAACATAGGTGATTATGTTTCTCCACAGCTTCCTGACTTTTGTTATTCTCAGCCATACTTGCTCCTTTAAGATCTCTTTTTATCTTTTGTTGCACTTGTTTTATCCATGTAGCTTAAAAGTTTTAGCTTTTCTTTAAAAGTAAACAGGATCCTGGAAGATTATCAGTATAATAATAGGCACAAGCCTCTTGCTATTTTCTGTATCAAATATTCTGTTGTCTGTTGCCACCACTGCCCAGAATGGTGTAGAAAACTGGCAAGCATGGTTGATGTGATGTTTTACACAAGATATGAAGTATCATTGTCACAAAGTATACTAGTTCAGTAGAGATTCATTGCTGAGTCACCCCCACAGGAGAGTGTCTGTTCATGCATGTGCAGTAATGACCCTCTGGCTGGTTACCAAGTTATATTCAGTCTATTCAACAGGTTCCCTTTTTGACTCTGTAGATTATTTATTTATTACATCTAAGTATTTTGGTGTTTGGTTTGCCCTAGTTAATCCCTAAAAATTTATAAATAATCTGTTAGTGGGTGGAGGTGCAAAATTTTATTAGGGGCTTTAAAAATGGATATTTTAAAAATACAAACAAACTGCCCATCTATGGAAACCCACATCAATGAACTTTGGATGCAACCGACAAAATCTGCAGGCAAAATAAAAAAGAATCTGCAGGAAAAAAAACTTCCAAATCATCAGTGATGTATTTCAAAAGTTGCAGGCTTAGTGGAATGAGTCAAATTAGTTCTTAAAGTGACCACTTGGTGGCAGTGGTGAGCTTTCAATTGTAAACAAAGACAGAAAGACATTAGTGTGTGCATGAGAAAGTAACTGTGAGAAATCTATTATTTTTGTTATTTTGTTTAATATACCTATATTAAGTATATATATATATATATATTATATACTTTATATATAATATATATATTAAAATTGTAGTTAAATATAACATATTCTAACCCAAACACCCCTTTTAGAAAGAATCTAAGTATACAAGTACGAAAAACGTTTTGTCATTAATAATAAAAAAAAACCCAGATGACATGCATTTAACTGATGTCAGAATTCATTGAAAAATTCACCCCTACCTTCCCTAAACTAGACCTCTTTTTCGAACATAACTCATAATTGATACAACAATAGTTACTAAAAATGAACACGCTACCGCCCCTGTCTAAATGATTGGATTTCTCTCTATCCTTTAAACAGGAAATTATGAATTTATATGTGCATTTAAAAATAAGTTATTCCAAAATTCGCTTGAAGATGAAACAGAACTAATGCTTTTAATTTAATTATATAATTAAATTTGAAGTTTTTAGCTTCGGTTTTTGAAACATGTTTATTACTGTGTAGCAAAGAAACCATATTTTAAATCAGTTAATTTATAGTATTTATGCTCTGTAAATTTACATTGAGCACTGTTTTGTAAAAATATCAATAAGAACACCGGATTATATATCTTACTGTTTTTTCTTTTTATTTATTTATTTATTTATATATATATATATATAAATTAAAAATATTGAAAAAGAACAGTAAGATATATAATCTATCAATCTGACCTGTGAGAGTCAAATTTACCAAGCACTCTTTCCTCATTACTCTTATATATATACTTATACTCTTTTATATATATATATATATATATTTATACTCTTATATATATATATATATATATACTTATACTCTTATATATATATATATATATATATATATATATACTTTTATATATATATATATATATATACTCATATATATATATATATATATGTATATTTAAAAGTCCTTTGATGAATGGATGTAGTCTTTGGCACCTCTGAGAAATCATGATAAGTGGACATTTTATTTGTTGCTATGAATGCTCTAGATATTGCTATTTGAAGAAACACTGTTCCTTTGAGACTTTGGCAACCATGTCTCTCTACAATTTCCTGTCCTTTGTAGCTCTTAGTATCCTTTATTTTTTTGCCATTTCTTCCAAACCTTACTCTACCATCCATTTGCTCAAGCTCACCATGCCCTCTTACAGTCAATCTGACCTGTGAGGGTCAAATTTACCAAGCACCTCTCTTTATGTGCCCTAAAAATTCTCTTTTCCTGATTTTGAGTATAAATGTCCTTTTTGTTGCCACTGACTCTAGAACTTCATTGTTGCTCACATGTTCGGTCCATGGTATTCTCAGCATCATTCTGTCGAACCATATTTCTGTTGCTCTATGTCTGTTCTACATTTAAGAGTCTGAAAATTTCCATTTTTAAAAATCTATACGTCTTACCTTCAAAGTAAATTTTTCTCTTAAGGAAACTATCCGTTTTTGAGCAGGACAGTTACCAAGTTTTTATTGAGTTCTGAGTTTTAAGTGATAAAAGCCAAGCAGCTTTTGTGTGCTAGGCATATGTCTGGTTAAGTTTGAGGAATAGGCCTTGTTGAGATTATCAGATGCTTCTAGCTTTAAGACAAAAAGCAGAAAAAATATAACACGATACATTGACATATAGCAAATTTATAACAGTATGAAAAATTTCCTTCTGGCATCATAACCAGCTGTCTTGTTACATTCTCTCTATGGGCTGAAATTCATTACCTTTCAATGAAAAAAAAACAGAATCAGACAAAGCAGAGTGATATGTTTTGCCAAAAGACCCTGCACGACATGGGAAGAAGCAGGCTTTGTTCTGGACCCTGGAGAAGGTGGTCGACACATCGTACTCAAGCTTTTGTCAAGGCATTTCTGCTTAAATATATTGTTCCGTATTAGCTAATCATTATCTAATAATATGTTTTCTATAAAACTGTATTCAGATTTAGATTCTTTTCTATATTCATGGTGGGGGGATGTCCGGAAAATATCCAGCCGATTAATAACATGGGTGGGGAAGGCCTGCCTAGGGAAATGGTACCTTATCCTAACATCTTTTACAATTTTTAAAGCAGTTTGAAAAATGTTTCTTGGGATCACCATCAGCTGCCTTGTTTTTTTTTTAAGCGTTTCACCCCAAGGGAAGCCACTAACATGCAAAGGGTTACAAGGGGTTACAGAGATTTGGAGAGAATAGGAGTGACAGAGGACGGATGAAGAGAAGGATAGGGGATAGATCAAGGCATCTGGAGACATCGATTGACATTACATTTGAATAATTGGAGATTATAGCTATCAGGGAAACAGGAAAAGCGGAGGGAGTTCCACAGACAAGAAGTGCGAGACATGAAGCTATTGGCGTAGAAGTGACAATTACATTTAACAGTTTCAACAGTAAAAGTGTGAGAGCGAGATGCCAGCCTAGTAGAACACTTAAATTCATGAAGTCTGGGAACCAGCGAAGGCAGCTCATCAGAGCAGTTTCCATGAAATATTTGTAAAAAAGACAGAAGGAGGCAACATTCTCCTTAATCTCATACATGGTCTGAATTCCCTTTCAATCACAAAAAGGCAGAATCTGGACTAAGGCAAGTGATATGATGTTTTGACAAAAGAATTGGCAAAAAGATGTGAAAAAATGAACAGTGGCATTGTTATGACTCTAGGGAGAGTGTTCCTACATGTGCTTTAAGGTCCCCTTTGATTGTCAACTTACATTGAAGTCATGATACTCACTATGGATAGAATTATTTCCCACACCCTTTTTAAGCTCTTGATCAACCAAATATATATATTCACTTTAATTGTGATTTGATACTTAAATAGCATCCTTTATTTTTTCTTCTCCCAGATATTGGCACATTACACACCATGAAGTGATGATCCCCAGTCTTTTCTTGAAATTATTCCACATAATCGCACATGTAAAGAGAATTACAACACTTTCTTTAATTTATTAAAAGGCAATTATTTTCATTTTCTTGTATTTTTTATTTCATTAATCCAACTCGTAATTTGGGCCTGCAAAGACAAAATAAAAATAAAATATAAGTAAAACTCAGCAGCATTAAAAATCACACGCACACACACATATATATATATACACACATACACTCTGAGCTGCTGGTGTATTTCGTATTGGAAAAAAAATGTTAAAATTCCCTTCCTTTCTACTGTGCAACAATGGCCTAGGGGTAAGGTGTCTAACTGATGTCAAATCAGTCTGGTTTTGATCCCGACTTGAAGCAATCAGACATCAAGCCACACTGAGGAGCTGTGATACAGCAAAACAGTCTATGTGGATGAAAATATATGCTCCTCGAAATCCGCTTGAGCTTTCAAAAGAAAGGTGGTTTTAAAAACAGCGGCTCCTACTGCTATTAAGCATTACTCTTCAAGTACAAATTGAGCTCTCCGAGCTGCTGGCATATTTCGTATTGGAAAAAAAAGCGTTAAAATTCCCTTCCTTTCTGCTGTGCCTGGCCTGGGTATAAGTTAAATCAGTCGGGTTTTGATCTTGACTTGAAGCAATCGAACATCTAGCCATACTGAGGAGCTGTGATACAGCGGAACAGTCTAATGGATCACACACATATATATTTAGAAATTCAGATATAAATTAAATATATCTGTAAAAAGACAATGTTAATAAAGACAAAAGAGGAAATAACTTAGATGTAAAGTTTTTGAGGGTGCAACTATTGACTTTTGCTAAAATGTTAACTTATAAAACTTCAACAACAATACTAGCAACATTTATTCACTTTCATTTATTAGGTAGTAAATTATATCACTTAGCATCCTCCATAATTTACATTTATTTACATAGTTTTAAGAATATTTTAGTGCATTCTTACATTTTAAATTTTGAAAATGGAACAATATTTTTTTTCCATTTTACTTCTGTTTATAAATAGAGAATGAAAAGCATTGGTAAAGAAAAGTGATTAGGAAAAACATTCTGCCGGGCATCTGTTCCACAAGGCTAGTCTGCCCCTGACTATCAAGAGTGTCTCCTCTCTGGGTACCTTAGTAAACAAACTCACCATGTCCAGGCTTACTATTTGGCTAAATTTGATGGGAACATCTTTGATTATTTCCATAAAGTGAGAAGAGTTCCATACATAGACTGGTGACTTTCCTATTAATGGGTTGATTATATTTACTAGAAGCTATTTGAATAAAACTTACTTCTGACTAATGGAATATGAAGGGGAAAAGGATCATTCATCTTTGTGTACATGGCGTGACAGATCTTCTGGGGCAGCGAGGTAATCTCTATCATAGGCACCTTCTCAGGCACATTTTTGTTTCTTCAACACTCATAGAACTAACCTGTGGTTTATACTGCAACTATGCTGAGCAGACCTTAGTCATAATTTCTGGGAGAGAGCGTATAATCTGGTGTGATCAACAATCTGAACAAGGCCAGCACACTCAAATCCTCGGTAACAATAAATTGTGACTTAGTGCTCGCTCAACCAACAATGGCTTCTGAACAGTTTTGTCAAGAATATAAGACTAAAGTTTTCATGCATAAAATAATTGTTTATTTACTTCAGGATGCTGCAAAATTAAAGCCTGCCAATCAAGCCGTATTCTTTTTGGGGGACTTTCAACGAACACTCAATCTTCTAACAAGAATGCGAAAAACTCTCCTTTCCCTTCATCAGTTGAGTGTTTCTATAACTCCCTGTTATCTGTGTCTTGTGCATGTATATCCCAAGTTTAGTTTAGTTTTCTAACTACTAACTACTATTCTACTGTTCCAACTACCATTCTAACTACTATTCTACTGTTCTAACATTCTAACTACTATTTTAACATTCTAACTACTTAGTCATGCATCCATTAGTAACAGTCTGACAGTTAACAAATTTTCTCTTACCTCACCATTTGCTGATTCAAAGACTTTCCAGCTTGTAAAACATTATTTTTCCACTGACTTTCAATCCGGGCATAAACTCCACCTGGGTGCTAATTAAAGAAAACAGAAAAAGTTGTGAACACTTTAACAAAAAAAGATAATGAAATCTGTGTATGTGTGTGTGTGTGTATGTGTGTGTGTGTATATAATTAAATCTTACTAAGCTAGGATGACGGAGAATAAAATAATGTGGGCTAGTCAAAAGAATAAGGAGGCTTTTGATTTTAGCCAAACCGAGATTTGTGCCAAGCCATTTGGAACTTTTCATAATTGTATATAAAAGACCAGGGGAAAGACAGCCAGAAACCAAATCTGAACATGTCATGCAAAAAAACTAAGCGCTCGTTTGCTTAAAACATTTTTTTACCCACTTTTTGACGGTTGATATAATCAACAGGTTTGTGCCGCAACATTTCTTCAAAGTAATGACATTACTTCAAAATTGAACACTTTTGTTTGAAGATGAGTCAATCCTTGTACATCTCAAATTTGACTTAAATAAAAAATTTAAATAACTCTGATAAATATTTCTAAGACCCTCTGGTGTTTCTCCACAGAGGAAGATAGATAACAAATGACTCTTGACTTGAAGAGGTTTAGATTGTAATGTCCAGGGAAGTATCCGTGTGTGAGTTTTTTCCCCACAAAGTAGCAGTTCTTGGAAAAAAGCTGAGTAGAACTTCTTCCTTACAAATGGAATATAGAGAGAATGAGGGTAAGGTATATTGTGATAGTAATGTAAACGTGCCTTGTGGGTAGTGTAGAATGCATTACACACACACAGAGATTTCACACACAGAGAAAGAAGAGATGATAAAATTATTTATTAAATAATTCTATCATCACTTCTTTCATTTTTTTTCATTTTCTCAAACCAAGTTGCTTATGTCTTTTGTTTATCTATGCCATCAAAACAGAATAGTTGATTATTTCTTAGGTATTGGTAGGAGACATTAAACACGCCTATCTTTTCATCTTTCTTTCTTGCCAAATCCTCAACTTATGAACATTTCTCTTAATAATAATTTTAAAATGACTCAGCAGATGATGTTATTTTATTTATGATAACTGGATTTTTGATGATTGCCTTACTTGGTTCTTGTCATTCTGTGCTTCTGAAAAATAGTGCATTTATTGCCATCGTTTCTTTGGCTAAGGTCAAAGAGTAGTATCTGTTCTTATCAACTTAATCTGATTCTCTCTCTCCACTTCTATCTTTCCTTCTTTCTTTCATCTTCTAGGGCTTTTCACTAAGATCAAAGTGTAGTATCTGTTCGTATCAACTTAATCTGATTCTCTCTCTCCACTTCTATCTACCCTTCTTTCTTTCATTTTCTCACTGAAACCAAGTAGTGTCTTTTCCCTTCTTCCTACCCAATCAAAATGGAATAGTCCATTATTTAAGAGGTATTGACAGGCCATAACTTTGGGGGGGGACAAGCAATAAGAATATGGCTTGAACACTAATATTCCATGGTTATAATTTATTACATTGGAATTGTAATCACGATCCAATTCATCAGACATTCCGATTTCTTTTTGAATTTGTAGGTCTGATGAATTGGATCATGATTATGATTCCAATGTAATAAATTATAACCAAGGAATATTAGTGTTTGTGCCTTTTATATTATATATATATATATAATAATATAATGAGAAGCCACGTATACTTTCTTAATAGGTATATATAGAAAAAGTTGCAAATTAAAAAAATAATAATGTTTTTTTATGAAAGTATTTATTTATTTATTTCTTCTGAAGAAAGATTGAGGTCAATCTGAAATATCAAATATATATATAAATAAATAAATACTTTCATAAAAACATTATTATTTTAATTTGCAACTTTTTCTATATATATATATATATATATATATATATATATATATCTCTCTCTCTCTCTCTCTCTCTCTATATATATATATATATATATATAAACCATTAAACAAGAACAAGATATTATTGAAGAATTTATTTAACAATTGGTGGCTGGTGGTATTGATAGTCTCTTAACAAATGGTTAAAAAACAGCTTGTGGCTGAATATAAAGAATGAAACACTAAAGTGTATGCACTTACTTATCTAGCCCACTGGCCCAGTCAGAATGGATCATTCAAATGTAATATAATGTGTCATGCTCCAAGGGGGAGCATTTCCACAAGCTACACCTTTCCTTCAGGTGGAGGTGCTTAGAGCGGCTAGGTCATTACCTGATGTCTGAGGTGTCCCCTGGGGGTTTGAGCAATTTCTTACCCTAGCCCAGTGGTTTTCAATATTTGATAAAAAGTACATTTAAAAATTAAAAACAGAGAGAAGGTTAAAGGGAGATAACCACAGATTCAAAGATAACTCTCTCCTCCAATTTGCAGAGCCTAGTTACTATATTCTTAATACTTGGTATAATGCAAAAATATCACAATGATAAAATCAGTCAGTAATTATTTATAACTATTTATACTGGGACTCATGTCTGCAATTACAAGTAATCCATAATAATAGTTTAAATTTTGAAATCATTTTTTGGCATATGAAATGTTTGAAACTGTTCTAGCTCATGTGTATCTGGGCTCCCACTCAACCTTGTGTAAAATTTTTTCTTTTTTTGTAAATAAAAGTAAAAATGTAAAAAGAATTTGTGAAATGCACCTATTTACCTCTTTTTTTGACTTTTCCACTTTGTCTGCAGAAAGCCTTAATTTGGTCAAATAAGAGACAATGTCTCTCAATCTTCTGAGATCTATTAAAAAAAAAAAGATAAAAGAACGTTTTAGCAGGTTTCATTGCATTAATAAAAGAATCTGGTGCAATGCTCTTATATTGTACATAAGTATATAAATATTTACTTGACCCCCCCCCCCCCCTCGAGTCAGGTTGTGACACAAGGTCGGTTTTTAACGTGGGGACCCAAGTGTTTTCACTCGGGCCGCTGGTCCAAGCTGGTCAGAGCTGGTCTAAACTAGTCATAACTGGTCCAGGCTGGAGTCGATCCAAGCTAGTCGTAGCCATGATACTACCCGCGCAGAGACGGATCCCTGCATCAGGTAAGTATCCATAAAATAAGTATACGTATTTAACTCAAGCTATGTTTTGATGTCTAAATTAGTTGTTAAAAATTTGACAAAAACTGTTCAAAGCAAATTTGAGTTATTGAGGTTTTATGATCAACATAATAACTTCAGTTCAGATAGACCGTAGAATGTTTCTCCATAAAGTATATATAAAGTATATTTAGGTAGCAAGAATTCTCTCAAACAAGTTTTGCTAAATTCAGATGACAAGGTCTGTCTAATATATATTGTATTTTTTCAAAGTAGAATGATGTGAAGTTTGTAGTGATAGGGGTACCTATTGTTTATTCCCGACGGAATCGCCAAATATGTAGCGGTTGCATTATCATCGTTGTAGTGATTGAGTTACCAATATATGTAATGGCTAAGAAAGATGAGATTAAGGACAATGCGTGAACGCAATGCAATTTATCCTTGACGTAAATAGCACATAGAATAAAATACAAAACTGAACTGAATGATTCCAAAACATAACAATTAGATTTATTAATGTTTGATGTACATGAATGCGAACTGAAAAGGTAGGACAGAGTCGTGTCCCTTTGATTAGGTATTAGTTGTACCGGAGTTCATATTAAGAAGAAGTAATATTAAACTTGTAATTTAGAAGAATAAAGTTTGGAATTGTGAGTTCTAAAGTTGGTAAAAGTTCAGGAGTGATTTCAGAGTTCATGAATGTTGGTAATTGTCTTTAACGTCTGGCCAGCAAATGACTAAGACGGGAGTTCCTGAAGGTTACATCTTGGCACTTGTTAGCAAGGAATGAGAAGTGCAAGAGAGATGAATGGAAAGAAAAACTCGAGGAAGTTTACATGTGTTGGGTTTATATAATGGTCGTGTACCACGTGGGAGGCTCAAACGGAGAACGCGGGAAAAAACAGATTGGTCGTGTGCAGGCGGTTTGATTGGTCGGAACTGACCAATCAACAAGCTAGATTGGAGGTGATTGCCCAATGAATACTTGTTATATTTATGTGAAAGTCGGATGTTACTTACCAGATAGGAAGAGTGCATTTCCTAAAAAGAGGTAAGGCTGGTTTGTTGTGGAAGATTCCACAAGTTATTTCAATTTTTAAATTCTAAAAAAAACAATCCCCCCAAAACATGAATTTAAAAATAAAAACAACTCTGCATTATTCTACTTTCTGAAAATTTCCCATGAAGATAAATAAATCACAAAACATGTCGAATTTATAATGGTTTTCTTATTTGTTTCTTATTTAATCATACATATATGCTGTTCACTCAATACAAGGCCCAAATGCCACTCAAGTTTGGAGTTGTATTAGCATAAGTACAAATGTTAGGAGTATAGGGTTGAAGTGAATGGAATATGTTTCATTAAATAACATAGGCATTTATATGCATATTTTTCTAACAAAACTTTTTTATTTCTTAATACTTTGCTTAACTTTTGGAAGGCATCTTTGACTGTCCCAATGTGCCTTTGGATTTCAGTGTCACACTTTCTGTCCTCTGTTGAAACATTTCCTAGACATTTAAATTGTTGTGACTTGTTTAATTTTTGTTATCTCCAATTTGTAATTTGCATGTTAGGCTGTCCCTTTTGCAGACAACAATGCATTCTGTCTTCTTGCAATTGATGATTAGTCCTTTCTTCTTTCTTTCTCACACTAGAGAAAAAAGGTAGACACAAGTCCATATATATATATTGATGCATGTTTCATTAAGCCATTGGTTTATACCACATTTGTTGTTAGTAAATTGTCAGTTTGCTTTGCTTATACAGCACATGGTAAAACTAATGAATTAACTTCCAGGTAAGTTGCATGCCAAGGTAAAAAGAGAGGAAAGATTTCTCATTAAAATAAAGTGAGATGGAGATGACAAAGTCAAAGCTGAGATTAACAAAATGGTTAGGTTGTTAGGAATATGGTTAATAAATGACATATAAACACTTGTTGATTTATAAGACAAAAATTAAAATGAATCAATAGACAGGCCCAGTTAAAACTAGGGTAAAAATGTTTGTGTTTACAAGTTCACCTTATATTAGAGTCTCTAAGGTAGTCATGGGTTTGGTTTACAGTAAAAAAAGCTAAATATAGATCCAGTTTAAATTAGAGTAAACAAGGTGAACATAGGTCAAGTTTACAGTAGAGTTACAAAGGTAGACATAGGTCTTTTTTAAATTAGAGTCAAAAAGGTAGACACAGGTCAAGTTTACAGGACAGCTAAAAGGGTAAACATAGGTTTAGTTTACACTAGAGTCAAAAAGGTAGACACAGGTCCAGTTTACACTAGAGGAAAAATAGGTAGACGCGAGTTTATAGTAGAGCTAAAAGGAGAGTTCATTTCTATATGTCACATCCCTCCAGGACATTACCAATCATGGTTCTTCACAATTTCCTGTGTTTTGTAGCTCTTAATAAATTCTTTTTTTGTTTCTACCTCTTCTAAAACAATAAGCATTGCCAAAGAAGTCATTAAAACACTAGTGGTGTCAATGGAAAAACCATCCTCAACTACCTGGTGAAATGAGTTTTGTTGAAATTCAAAAGATAACAGTCAAGGGTAATTGCTACATCCTCATGAAAGTTGTACTCATGTGACAGGTTTATATACTAAGGAATTTGAAGACACATTCTGATATATTCACATAATCACACACATTTTGCAACAAATTCTTCATATTTTGAAGGTCCTTTGATGATTTTACTGAATTTTATACCCATGGCATAATTTTAGTTTTCCAAACTCTCTCTCTCTTATTTATATATATATATTGGTGCATGTTTCATTAAATAATATAGGCATTTATATGCCTATAATTGATAACAGAAGCCATTGGTTTATAATATGGCTTCCCATACTTAATACTTCTCGATTTCATTCTCGCATGGTCATGTGTAACGTCATGAGCTGTGACGCAATTTTCACTTCCGTGTCTCATATACACGAGTTTATCGTTGCTTTGAAATTTTTCATGCAACAAAAACAGACTATCATTATTGTTTTGTCCGTGTATTGGTTGATGCATTGAAAAGTAATTGTCATCTTTGATAATGGCTCATGTAAGCTGAAAGCTTAGATTGGACTTAAACATGTATCAATATGGTGATTTCCTTTCGTCTTTCAATGATAATGTTATTAAGCTTATCAGACAATATGAAAGGAACTTACTTAAAATAAATAGACAAAACTTGTCTATATTATTTAATGAAACATGCATCAATGAAAAATTGCTGCCTAAATATATATATATATATATATATATATATATATATATATATTTAAGTATTTCAACCCAAGCAAAGCAGGAGTGCTACTGGTTCACAGAAGGTTACATAGAGTGAAGATGTGAGAAAAGGGGGAATGAGGAAAGAATAAAAGATGAACGGGGTTCAAGATATCAGAAAATGGCGATTTGTGCTGCATTTAAAGTTTTGAAGATTGTAATTATCAGGAAGCAAGTAAACAGAAGGGAATTCCACAGGCAGGAAGTGTGAGAAAAAAAGCTTTTGGAGTAGAAGTGGTGGTTACATTTAACTATTTCAATGGTGAAAGGTGGGACCTAGATGCCAGTCTAGTAGCAAGCTTAAATATAGATAGTTGGGACACCAGGGAAAAAAGCTCAACAGAACAGTAGCCATGGAAATATTTGTAGAAAAGACAGAGGAAAGCCACATCCTGTTTGTGAAAAAGTGCCAAATCAGGATCGATTAGATTGCAGATTCTTCTTTGGATTTTGTCAAGAACCATGAGATGGACAGCTGGGGCAACAGACCAAATATGGCAACAGTATTCAAAGCACAGATGAATGATAGATTTCTAATCTGTAAGATGGACCTTGGGGGAGAAAAACCTTCTGGCACGACACAGGGAGCCAACTTTCCTTGCATACATAAATTTTATCTGTACATACATATACTTCTTCTTCTTCTATATGCCATGCGATCATGAGCCTTCATAACTTCTTGTCTTTTGTAGTCCTTAATAAATTTTGTTTTTTTTTGCTATCTGTTGAGGGGTTCTCCCCTTTTTACACAAATGGATTCACCCAGTATATAGTGTTGTTCTTCTTGACTGAGGGGAGAACAGAAGAAGACATACCGTTCTAAGACTATTTTTGTGAAAGAATGCACAATGGCCTCAACAGGATTATGAACAACATAATCTATTGATATACCTATGCATGTATATATGTTTATATATATATGGGATAATTTTGTGATGTCAACAAACACTCATTGGCAGTTTTGTAATGCCAACGAATACTCATTGTCACTTTCATAATACTTGTTGTAGTAGAGACTTTGTAATTGCAGATACAACTATAGCATGCCATTGAACAATACTGGTGTCAGACGCCTTTGAATATCATTCACACTAATACTTGCTCAATAATACTCACCCGAACAGTAATCCATGTAGTTATCCGAATAGAGAAATAGTATAGTGTACAGAGTAGAGAATAGCAGTCCATATAGTAATAGAGGATAGAGTAGAAATAGTGATCCAAATAGTAATAGTGGATAGTGTAGAAATAGCGATTCGTATAGTAATAGAGGGTAGAGTAGAAATAGCGATTTGTATAGTAATAGAGGATAGCATAGAAATAGTGATCTGAATAGTAATGGAGGATATAATAGAAAAAGTGATCATTTAGACGTTACATGACTTCCTACTTATGCGTTTCCTCTATGGTCACGTTGTCTACTTAATTCAATAATGGAATTGCTTGTATTTGCTCACAGGCAATCTATGTTCAAACTCATGTGTTAGCAGCAACACTTTATTCCTATATAACAGATAATGATATATAAATTTTTATATATCAAGAACAGTTTTGGAGGAAAGATGTATAACACAGCGGAAAAAGTTTTCATGTGACGCATTTTGTCCCTTAGGGCTTCATTGAACTACGTTTGTTTATATTGATGTGACTACCTATACACATATAGGAGAGACTCTGGGAATTTTATATTTAAAAAAAAAATTTTTTTCTTAATAATATATGTTTGCGTATATAAACTTGTCAATTTCATTTAGATTCTTTTTCTTTTTGTTTCCATCAGCTTTTCTATTCAATATCCTACAGAAGATGGTGAAACGTCATATATATAGGATTAATACAAATTAAATTTGTCACTTAGCTGATTGATGTTTATATTCAACACCTAAACTCAAGAGTTTTGTAGATGAATCATTTTGCAATCGTACAGTCCACTCATCAGGTGGTTTCAGCAATTGATTGCAGTTTTTTTTTTTTTTTATATATATTTAAGTTTGTTGTAAGTAATTTATGCTCTAGTTATTCATGTGATGTTTATTTTTTTTCCTATTTTTGTATATGCATGTGTGTATGTGCATTTGTCAAATACTACAGTTATTTCTTCTCTTCATCATTTCTTATATATATATATATATATATATGGACCAATTTTAAATGTGAACTAATTTTAAGCATCTAATGATTTTTTCTTTTTCTTTTAGATTTGGCAGACATGTGGACGATATTATTTTTCACACATAATTGCCATGACTTAAATAACATGATGCAACAGAGAAATAAATAAATTTTCACCAATAACACTGATTTATTTACTGCTGACTTTGGTCCATCTTAATGAAACACCCTTTAAATAATAATAAAAAAAACGAAAGAATATTAATCTACAACCCAGCGTGTCTAAAGATTTAAATTTTTAATATTTTTTTATTGTTCAAAATATATATATATATATATATATATATATATATATATATATATATATATATATATATATATTTAGGGCACCTTGAGACAGTGTCATGGTTAGCAAGCTTGTCTTGCTAGGACAATGACTGAGTAGTGACTTTGGTCCTCACTGGGTGCCCTATACTTTCGGCCTTGTGCCACATCCAAGTTCTGCTTGGAAAATCATTATATATATATATATATATAGGAATGCTATATTTATGGGAGAAAAGTGCTCAGTGTCAGAGAGAGAATATATGTAAGTATAAACATTATGGGCATAGGTATTAACACTGGATGGTGACAGTTTGTTTCATGCTTAATACACAGGCCTGATGATTGTGTTTAAGCATGAGACAGACTGTCGCCATCCAGTGTGAATACTTATTTCCATACTATTTTTCTCTCTCTCTCTATACATGCATATACACCTACAAGGGTACATCAATAAGTCCATAACCTGATACATAGTTAGTAGCTGAATTTTTATCTGAAATTTTCACTGCATAATGTCCATTCTATATAATTGATGGAGAAGTTTTGAGTTGATGATAAATGAGAATGTGTTGAAAAAATATTTATGCTTTCCTCATCATGATGCTATGGACTTTATAATATACACAGACATATGATATAAAAGATGCTGGTAAAGATTATAAAGTAATTCTCTTTAAAAAAAAATGGTTAACTTGTATCCTTGTCTTTCTTGGAGCAGAACACCATTAACTGAACTATGGTAACTTATCATATCTCAGTTATTAATTAATTGTTCCATAAGGTTTACCTTCTTGGCGCTGGGCATCCTGGTTATACCTCACAGAACGTTGTGCATTCCACAATGATTTTTGAGTTGGCCTGCAAAATAAAGGAGAATAAAATTATACATTTTTGCAAAAAGGCTAAGAATAATATTAAAATGATTTTTGTCAGAATTTTTGAGATAAAGATTTATCATTATTATATACTTTGAATTTCAAACCAGCATGCTTACCTTGGTTGTTATACACACAATGTTTAAGCCATTATATCCTCTGACCTTCTTCAGGTGTCTGTCATATATTTTGCTATTCAGACTAGAATACACACAGTGTTTTGGTTATGTTTATTCCATAAAAGAAAGATTCAAAGATCATAAAAGAAAGACTCAAATATTGTAAAAGAACAATTCAAGGATCATAAAAGAGAGATTCAAAGGTCGTAAAAGTCGGGCTCAAATATTGTAAAAGAACAATTCAAGGATCATAAAAGAGAGATTCAAAGGTCGTAAAAGACGGGCTCAAATATTGTAAAAGAAAAATTCAAGGATCATAAAAGAAAGATTCAAAGGTTGTAAAAGACAGGCTCAAATATTGTAAAAGAACAATTCAAGGATCATAAAAGAAAGAATCAAAGTTCATAAAAGACAGGCTCAAATATTGTAAAAGAACAATTCAAGGATCATAAAAGAAAGATTCAAAGGTCGTAAAAGACAGGCTCAAATATTGTAAAAGAATAATTAAACGATGATAAAAAGATTCAAAGATCGTAAAAAAAAGACTCAAATATCATAAAGATTCAAAGATCATAAAAGAAAGATTCAAGTTTTGACGCAATAAATTCTTGAAGGAATTTTTTAACATCTTAAATTTGTTGTAATTGTTGACCAGATAAAGAGTGTTGCATGGAAGGAACAAGTGATAGTCTGTAGGGCTAACAGATCAGGAGAATATTCCACATGCAGAAAAACTGGAGTTTGTAATTTTTTGTTTTTTCCCTTTGAACGATATCATCATATAGCAAAACATCAGTTGATTTCCTCGCTCAGAAAAAGCTGATTTCTTTTTGAATGTGTCATTCAAATGAGTCAATTGCTCTATAGCATTTAACAACATTTAGTTTATGTACTGACAATTCCTTTTGAAACTACCAAACTCAACTATACATCCACGAGGATATCTTGTGGATTAAAACCTTGGTTTATGGATTTGGTAACATAGTAATTGTGAGTTCAGTCTCAGGACTGCAACTTGTACTTAGACTCAAAGTAAACAAAGCAACCAATAATTGAGCAGGACTAAAAGTAATAACTAAGCATGACATCCCTAGACATGGGCAGTGGAATAAGAACAGGTTACTCACCCCCCAGGTTAAAAAAAGTGATCAGTTCAGAATTCCCTGTAGATTGCCAAGGTCAATATACACCTGATGAAGGCAGGAGGGCATAATGGATGAAACGTTGTGATAACAACAAAGATGAGGACAATAGTACAAATGTAAATAGTGTACATAATGATAACTCCTCATTCCAGAAATTCAGTGATAACAACAACAAAGATGAGGACAATAGTCTGAATATAAATAGTGTAAATAATGATAACTCCTCATCCCAGAAATTCAGTGATAACAACAACAAAGATGAGGACAATAGTCTGAATGTAAATAGTGTAAATAATGATAACTCCTCATCCCAGAAATTCAGTGATAACAACAACAAAGATGAGGACAATAGTCTGAATGTAAATAGTGTAAATAATGATAACCCTCATCCCAGAAATTCAGTGATAACAACAACAAAGATGAGGACAATAGTCTGAATATAAATAGTGTAAATAATGATAACTCCTCATCCCAGAAATTCAGTGATAACAACAACAAAGATGAGGACAATAGTCTGAATGTAAATAGTGTAAATAATGATAACTCCTCATCCCAAAATTCAGTGATAACAACAACAAAGATGAGGACAATAGTCTGAATGTAAATAGTGTAAATAATGATAACTCCTCATCCCAGAAATTCAGTGATAACAACAACAAAGATGAGGACAATAGTCTGAATGTAAATAGTGTAAATAATGATAACTCCTCATCCCAGAAATTCAGTGATAACAACAACAAAGATGAGGACAATAGTCCGAATGTAAATAGTGTAAATAATGATAACTCCTCATCCCAGAAATTCAGTGATAACAACAACAATGATGAGGACAATAGTCCGAATGTAAATAGTGTAAATAATGATAACTCCTCATCCCAGAAATTCAGTGATAACAACAACAAAGATGAGGACAATAGTCCGAATGTAAATAGTGTAAATAATGATAACTCCTCATCCCAGAAATTCAGTGATAACAACAACAAAGATGAGGACAATAGTCTGAATGTAAATAGTGAATGTAAATAAATTCAGTGATAACAATGGAATAGATGGAATGGAATAGCTGAAAGAAAAAGGAATGATGAACATGCTTTGTTCTCAGAGAAACTTTTGTACTACTAAGACATACACAAACTATATATATATATATCCCATGCAGAAAATAATATATCACATATATCTGCACAGCAAAGCAGAGTGTAAGGAGAAACAAAAAGAAATGATCTTACATATAATATGGAGCTATTCCTGTGTCTGGAGAAGCCATGTTTTTCTGACTCCAGATTCAAACCAATCAGATTCACCTATGTCCCAGATGAGGACATATTCCATGAATAAGAAACAGCAAGACTTGCATTTTCCTAAATTGAGGACCGGAGCTGGAGTTGCATTCTATATCTGGAAAAGATATATTCCCAAGGAAAAACAACCCCAAGGACTTGTAAGCTGCAGGGGAAGCAGATTTAGCCTCTGCTTAGGCCATAGGGGTCCTGGGCTAAAGAAAGCAACCTTATGGTTTAACTACTGTAAACAAACCAAAACTGACTGGCATTTTCATTGCTGTATAGAGTGTCATCATTAAGCGGACATCATGTGACCCACATGACTTATCGCTACCAAAGGGAGATAAGTGCCTTTTGTATACTTACAGATCAAAGAATCTTTCATCAACGTAATTTGTTTTTTTTTTAATCATTTCACCCCAAGGAAGGAAATAAAGCCATGAAGATGCAAGGAATATGAATATGAAGGGAAAAAAACACTATTAAAGTGAGAGTACAATAAAAGAACATGAATTATGAAAAGAAAAGAAAAGATAATGATTGACATTGCTCTTAAATTTTTAAAGATCAAATTTGACTGTTAAGCAAGAAGTGTGATAGAACTTACAGTTACAACTAGCCATTTCAACTGTAAAATAATGAGACCTTGCCTAGTACGGTGCTTAAATTCATAGAGTCTAGGAACCATAGAGCAAAGTTCATCAGAATAATTACTATGAAAATATTTATAGAAAAGGCACAGAGAAGCTATGTTATGATGGTGGGAAAGTGACTGAAGGCAAGATGCCAGGTCAGGACCAATAATATAACAAATTTTTCTTTGTATTTTATCAAAAATTTCTAAATATATAGCAGGAGCACCAGACCAGATGTGACAGCAATTTTCAAAGCAAAGATTAATGGTAGACTTATAAATATATAAGATAGATTCTGTCGAGAAAAATTGCCTAGCACAGCACAGGGAAGCAACGTTCAAAAATAGCTGACTTAGCAATTCATTCAATATTATCTTTCCACTTTGTGTCAGTGGAAAATGTTAGTCTGAGAAGTAAATAATTTTGTTTAGGAACTGTTCACTGGAAAATAGTTAGCCAAATTATGTACTTACTGAAATTCAGGGGTTTCCAGCAAAATGTTCTGGGTGTCAGCTATCATCCGTGCTTTTTGAAACTGCCTTTTTGAAACTGTAAAAAGAAAAGTAGAGAACAAATAAGTACAAAGTGGCATTGTCCAAGGATTTGAGAAGATAAAGTCATTTTCACCAAATGGCTTGTGAGAAGATTTTCATGCCAATCATTGTATAAGTGATTCTTAAAATATATGTTAAACTTGTTTTAGTTTTATTTCAAGATAACCCAGGACTGAGCTTACTTTGAGTGGTTCATAGGATCTTGTCATAGTGAGGATGTGCTGATAGAGAAATAAATAAAAATAAATAAAAATAAATAACAAGAAGACTCAAATTTTGCCATCTCTAAAAATAGACCTATAATAAACAGCAACAGGCAAACAGAGCCATAGTTTGACCAACAAATCAGAAAGCTTTCATAACTTGGGCAAGCCAATGAAAAGTGAGCTACAAGCCAATGAAAAGTGAGCAGCTTTTTCAAAGTGGATCTACAAATGTCTATATAAACAGATGAAAAATCAACCAAAATCAGTCGATAAATTAATTTTGTCCATTTTCTGATGATGCAATGATTGTAACATACCCAGAGACAAAATACAACATTTGCACAACTAAAAAAATAAAAACTTTACCTTTAATTACTTCATCATCACCTACTTCATCATCACTGTCAATGGGACTACAGATTTGGTTATCGTAGTCAGGATCTTGTATGAATCGAGGTCTGTTCTGAAGTTTATAGTTCTTGGCAAGAAAAAAAAAAGAAACAAAAAAATATTGAAAATGAAAATTATTCTTACCTTCAGATGAAAAGAAAGGGAGTATCAATGGCCAGAAATTAAAATAAACATTGCTGATAAAATAGTGTTATTATAGGAACAATGTAAATGCATTGCTAATAGTTTTACTATAGAAATGCATTGAAAATAGATTTGAAAGAGATGGTTAGTGGTCAGGAATGAAAGCAAGCATTACTGATAAAAGTGGGCTCTTATATGTATAAGATAAATGCATTGCTAATGAATTTACTATAGAAATGCATTGAAAATAGATTTGAAAGAGATGGTTAGTGGTCAGGAATGAAAGCAAGCATTACTGATAAAAGTGGGCTCTTATACGTATAAGATAAATGCATTGCTAACGATTTTACTATAGAAATGCATTGGAAATTCGGAAAAAAAGTGATTATCAATGGTCAGGAATTAATGTAAACATTCCAGATAGAATAGGGATTATTATATATACAATAGGCTTCTACTGATAATACCTTATTGAATTAACTAGTAATGATTTCTTTCTTTTCTTGATAAAAGCAAAAATATTTACTCACATCTAATCTGTAGTCATCATCTCCAGCATTGAGATTCAACAAGGCAGAGTTCAGTGATGGAGAAGCTTGCTTTAAAAAGTCTTCATTACCAAAAACGTTTACTTTCTCTTCTCTGCAAAATTAAGACAATTTACTCAGAAGTATTATCAAACTAGCAGAAGTAGCCGACAATAAGAGCTATGCTTTGATCTAACCAGAGTTATAATGACAATAAAGTAAATCCTTAATCTTGAAAAGTAGTACCATTTTTTTATTAGTGTATTACAATTTGTTCTCCATACTTAGAATTTCTGAAGACTTAATAATAGTGAGAAAATATGCAACAATGTAATTTGTCAAGCAGCCATAAAAGTCGTTATTCATTTTAGTATTTCTTTCACCTTAATTTCACATGTTTTTTATTAGATTAGTAGTAATCCTGATCATGAAACCCATAGCCTTTTTTTTAGATATTAATAATTTAATGATACAAGTCTTACTAATTAACCCATAGATGGGGGAAGAAGCAGTGGATTCATACCTTTCCCAAGGGTATTTGTGGATAAGTTAATTGGAACTTGGTTCTCCAATTAACAATTCAGAGCCATTATCCATTACACCACCCACACATTCAAGCTCCTGGTATTCCCAAGTTGTCACCCATCTAAGTAAAGATCAGGCTCGATGTTTCTTAACTTTAATGGTTGTATGGGAACTGATGTTTCAATGTGATATGGCCTTAAGCCAATATGTTTCAAGGTGAACAAGAGAAAAACAGTTGAAGAGAAAGGAATATTGCCAGTTTTGTGGTTTAACGTTGTTACCAGTACACCAGACATGATATTTGTGAGAACAGATGTGAGAGCCACATCAGAGCCATGCTGAAGTCGTTTAATATCTTCCCTAGCCAATTAGGAAAGTTGGCTAGGGATCAGGTCAGTTTTCAATGTGTCTTTTTTCTTTTAATCATTTCACTCCAAACAAGACAATAAAGCCACTAAGATGAAAGTGAGACAAAAAAATACTAATAAAGAGAGAGAAAAGAACAAGAAGACAGAAGATAACAAATGGCATTACTTTGAATATCAAACTTGACTGGGAAGTAAGAAGCTGGAAGAGTGTTCCACAAGTAAGAAGTGTGATAGAAGAAACTGTTAGCATAGAACTTATGTTTGCAACTAGCTAATTCAACTGTAAAATAATAATGCTGCTAAATCTAGTACTGCACTTAAATTAATAAAGTTTAGGTACCATATAGGAAAGTTTATCCAAACAATTACCATGAATTATGAATTTTATCAAGAATCTCTCAATGAATAACAGATGCACTTTATCATATGTATCAGCAATATTCAAAGCATGGATGAATGGCAGACTTATAAATATGTAAGATAGATTCAGGGAAGAAAAATTGTCTCAAATGGCACAGTGAACCAACTTTCCTAGCAATTGATTCAATATAATCTTTCCACTTCATGTCATGTATATTATGCTTTGCTAGGGTGATGTAAAAGCCAAATACATTGTTTATCATGTAATGCCATCTATACCTGACTGCCATCCTGTCTTCTGATAGCAGTTGATTTAAACAGTTTACTTCTGGTTTCATTAGAGTTTTCCTTCTCAAAGATGGTCTGCCCTCACTACAGCTATGGAGTTCTATCTACCACTGACAGTAACAGGTTGTACTAGACTACAACTTACCACTTGTCAGTAGCAGGAATCAAGCATGAACAATGTTACCTATGAAGTTGTGACTTATACTAAGTCTGGTTATCCCCTATTAGTACAATGTTTACTCTTACCACATATGGATTATACATAGGTATAAAGATAACTTAAACATTATAATATAATGTTATAACAAGTGAAAAAGTTTCAAAATGATTTGGTAAACACGTTCTTACATAAACTTGTGTGATAAATAGTTTGAACAAGGATCAGTACACTCAAATCTTCAGTTTTTGTTTCCAAACACTTTCATCTACCCAATTTTACTCACAATGTTAGGGTCAATGTCTACGGTGTCCAGGTGCTTTTCAATGGGTCAATATCATCAAGAAGTTACTTCCTTGATAAAACATGGTAAGGTCACCAATATTCTTCCCACTTGGTCATGCACCCATTATAGATATAAATACATTCACAAGAAACATGTCATGCCCAACCCACATTGGGAACAGTTCATTACAACATTTGCCATATTAAAACAATGCATGCATAAATATAAGTTTATAGAATCGTCAATGTTTGTCTACTCACCCCCGTTAAAAATAGACTCTTCTATAAGAATTAGCTTTGACCAATCAACACCACACATTGTGAAACTCGGCTTGTTATTGGTCGAGACGACCCTAGAATGTGTATCCATGGTCAAAAATCTGTTTTCCCGCCAGGCCACTGGGAGCCTACTTTGGTTTCCCAAACTAAATAAAAGGATGAATTTCAGTCCAATTCACCAGTCAGACCTCCACACCTAGAGAGATGCCCATCAACTCCACGCCAGTCAAAAACTCTGACTTTGCCGCATAAAAATATTCTCTGACGCAGCAACCTTCACGCACACTCTATCTCTCTCTAGAACATTTCTCAAACTTCACCTATTATACTTTCAAAGTGATATTTCTCACTACATAACAAGTATCAGTAACTAACAATCTATTTTTCTCAAGCAGATAAAGGTACGCAACTTTGAACAACTTTGAATATTTGTATAAACACACTTACGTACATACACTAACGATTCAACCTCAACACCGAACATTTTTGTACGTGATCAAACAAACAGTTTAATTCTGTGAACAAATCTAATCAATAGCTGCAAATGCACCCAAACATTCACAATAACACAATACACAATAAAATACACTAATCCTCATTTATCCATCAAATCTTAAACCCACTGTATTTAAATTGTATATAAACTGATGTTATTGTTATGCCTTCAACTTTTGTCTTGTTTTTAACTTTATTTGCATGATTTGTTCCAAGTATTTGTTCTAAATAATTGTTGTGGACGAATGTTGTAGAACACGGCCTCGAAATTCCTTCTGATCAATTTAAACACAATCACCAGTCTGCAACAAGTTCTAGAAAATAAACAAGTTTTACATACTCTTCTGAAAGATCTTCTCTTTCATAAGGCACACACACTGTATCTCGATGTGACAGTAAGTCATTGTATATTTGGTTCAGAGTTGCAATAGATGAAGTTGTGTTTTCTATTCCTGTTGAAAGATTAACAATATGATCACGGACTCTGCAACCCTGAAAAGTAAAATAAAATGTGTGTATATATATATATATATATATATATATATATATATATATATATATATATATACAAGTATATAATTGGTGTATACGGAATGAATTCCAATATGATAGCTATTATAACATGATTTCGTTGTCAAGCTTTTGAATCTTCCTATACTTGGGTTTTGATTGGTCATTCTAGCTTTTGTAACAATGTTTTCCTCTAGCAAAGGATCGTTAATTAATTTGAAACTTTTAAAACCATTTATTTTATATTCAACATCATCACTTGATAAGACACCAAGGATGTTGAAACAAAATGGCTATTTTTGTAGTGATCTTATAACATATTTGTTATAAAATATTTTTTTTTTTATATAAAAAATAATTATATATATATATATATATATATATATATGGTATAAAATGACAATTGGAAAAAAAAATCTTAGATTTTGCCAACGCATTTCGTCTTCCGACTTTTTCAAGGCAAAAATGAAATCGAAATGTTTTTGTTGTTATAGTTACATTAAAAAATCCAAATTTAAAAAGATAGATGCTTCTGTCTAAGCCTTTTTTTCTGGTTAATGTAAATTACCTTTATAGTAAGGGATTTTTCTTTTTTTTTTCATTTATATATATATTATTATTAATAGAAATCTTATAAGTATAAGAAACTATACTCATTCGGAAAACCTTCGGTGTCTTGATTTGCAAATAATCAAACCAATACCAAAGGGAAAAAAAAGGTATAAAAAAAGAAAAAACCAAGAACATGTTAGCCAGCATGTGTGTCTGCTGAAAATAATCGTCCAGCATGCAAGTCCAAAGCCCAAAGAAAAAACCCCGATATAAGTACGCAAAAAACTATATAAAGTGCTCAATACAGTTGGTAGAGCAGACGTAGTTAAATCTAGAGAGCCAGGCAGCTGTCTTTTTATTATTTTTATTATCATTATAATGCTCTGTAGTCTACATTGAGCTCTCCCTGGATTTATATCCTCCTCGGAATTATCCCTTGCAGTTACAAACAGGTAAATCAGATAATAATTTTATATATATATATATATATATATATATATATATATATATATATATATATATGTATGACAAAGTTTCATTAAGCAACACATGTACAAGAATGAGAGATGCTGGGAATTTTAAATTTTTGAAATATTTTTCTTTTAATCTAAACCCCAAAGCACATTATTAAATGTGTTTTGGAATTTGTTTTTTAATAATGTGTTTTGGTTATATAATATAATAGAATATTATAGAATTTATAAAATATATTTTATAATATAATATATATTTTATATGTTGTATCTTTAAAGAAGGTTACAAACAAAGGTGGTACTTGAGTGAAAGGAACAGCAACAGGAGCGTAGATGAAAGACAGAAAGGTTTATGGTAAAAGAGAATACACTACTGAAAGAAAAATAATTGGTCAGCAGGTAATTCCCAAAGCAAGGATATTTACCTTACCTCCCCACGAAGCAGGATGTGGCACAAGGCCGTTTTTTAATGTGAGATAAAACTGAGCCCGTATACATGGGCAAAAATACCCTGTAGACTCTGTATACATGGGGTCGGGTAGCTGTCTACCACTCCAGATGAGACTCTACCCTTCGACATAGCCTCGTCTGAGTTCCTCTCTGCCCAAAGGCAGATAGTTCAACCAACACAGCTGGAGATGAATCTCCAACTAATTCCCAAAGCAATTCCACCAAGTATATCATGTGCTTATTATATATATCTACTGATATAGTTAATCCACATATACAATAGGGAGTGTGGGACATTCCATTACAACATAATATTATATAATTTATAATATAATAAAATATTTTCAAAATTTTAAATTCCTAGTGTCTCTCATTCATGTGCACATGTAGTCACATCAATGTAAACAAACTTGGTTCAATGAAGTCCTAAGGGACAAAATGTGTCATATGAAAACTTTTTCTACTTTGTCATACATCTTTCCTCCAAAACTGTTCTTGATATATAAAAATTTATATACCATTATTCCATATATATATATATATATATATATATATATATATATATATATATATATAGTTGTGTGCATTTAGGCAGTAAACCCTCTCTAATACATGTTTAATTAAAAATAACTGATATTCTACTTCTGTTAATTTTGTATTGCATTTTCTTGTATATAAGCAAGAGAATTCTTTTTTGGACTAAGTCTGTGTAGAAATTGTTCAAATGATTGTTCTTTGTAAATGCTTTCAGCTAAGCTTTTAGCCATTTTCAAGGATTTTCAGGATGTCATAGGATATCCCCAGCCATGTTGTATCAATTTCTGCCAGGTTTGCAAAAAGATGTGTGATTTGGAGTTGTTCTGATGTAAGACGAGTCCCTTCTAATTGCCGAATACTTGATGCTTATTATCAGTTGGTGCCTTTAATTGATCCAACAGGGACTTTACTAGTCTGAATTCACCATCTGATTTTGCAGAAGAAACTTGTTACACACTGAGGTAAATAGCAATAGAGAGGTTCATAAAAATGCTGGAGATGTAAAAATCCATATCACAACTCGTAAATGCACAACTACCTTATTAATCTGTGAAGTGTCAAGCAATGCAGTGATACAAAATAGCGTTCTTTTATTGGGGTAAAAAAAGTTGTGATTGATTGAGACTGGTAAAGAAGTGCAAACAATTACCATATTTTGAGGCCTGCTAAAGTCAACCTAATCTTGAGTCTCATGTTCTTTTTTTGATAGAAAGTACAGCGGACACAAACTCTTTTTTCAAAGCAAGGCTTGGTTTTTTTCCTTTCGTTACCAGATACACAACATCACCTTTTTTGGATGCAGACCAGCTTTTTAAGTTGTTAATAGTCGCTCATTTCATTTTCCCAAGAGATCTTTTTCACTTCATATTGTTGTAAAGAATCCATTTTTCAAAGTCAACAAGGTAAACATAAGTCTGTTTTACACTCATCAAAAAGGTAGACATGGGTCCATTTAAAAATATATCTGGTTTACACTCTAGTTAAAAGCTAGACATTTTTCAGGTTTATACCCAAATCTGCAAGTATCTACATGGAAGGTGGTCCCTTTTAGTGGTGGTGGTAATGGGGGGGTTACCCCTCTGCAGGGCATGCAGCTGGTATTTATAAATCCCACCAACAGAGCAAAAGGATCAATAGAAAGACAGATTGATTGTTTTTTTTTTTTATAGCTTATCAACCTATTTATAGGTTATTTAAAGCCAGAAAATATTTTTAGATTGTAAGAATTCTTTGGAGATAATAATGATTTTTACTTATACAAGTTGTAATAATTAACCCATAGCTGGGGGGAAGAGAGAAGGATTCATACCTTTCCCCAAGATTTTTTATACATAAGTGAATGTAATGAACCTGACTAGAATTGGAACTTTGCTCACCAATTTCCAATTCTGTGCTGTTATCCATTACACTGCATGCATGTCTAAGCTTACAGCATCTGACATTTCCAAGTGGTCATCGATCTAGGGACTGACTAGTCTCAGTGTTGCTTAACTTCGATGATCATATAAGAACAAACATGATATGGCCATAAGCCTCAACAGAAAGAACAATTACAAGTATATTTAAGCAATTATTAAACAGTTATATTGAACATCAAAATTCTAATACAAAAATATATTACTTTTAGTAAAAAAAATCCAGTGAGTTTGTGCAATAGATCCAAGTAGACATTTATGATTTTTTAGTCCCACCCCAAATGATTTTCAGCTCAATTATGAAACAATATTAATGTTATGTGTATTTAATAGAAGGACAGTTTTTTTCACATGACACTGCCTTTTTAACTACTTTCATTCTTTGGCAAGGTTTATTGTTTTAAAAAGTGATGATTAGAATTGGAATCATCATCATCCCCTTGACTTTCATAATTGTAATGGAGATCTGAATGCAGAAGCCACACTGAATCTTCTCCGCAACAGCTTATCAATGGCAGCCAGCAGAATTGGAATGAAACAGTGTTAACATTTTTGTTGTCAATTCTCAAGAACAAAGAAAATATATAAATTCACTTTAATATGTTTAGATTTATTCCAATTCCAATCATTGCTTTTTAAAACAATAAACATTGCTGAAGAGAGCTGTTTGTTAAAAAAGCAGTGTTAATGGAAAAACAGTCCTTTTGACACTGTGTCTTATTTCAAGTGTATAAATTCACGTTTGCAATTTTTTTTTACATACAACCATGCAACTTAGAATTCTGATGCATTTGACCATAGAATAAATAATGAAAAATAATCAAATTTAATAACTTTATCCAAATTTGTGGGATTAAACCTTGGCACTTTCTGATGACAGCAAGGGTAGATCCCAGTCAAGTTCGGATGGTCTTCTTTGTTGACGTCATTGAAACGGGGGTGTTCAGGATGGTAGTGACAGTGACCAAGTTGGTAACAAGGGAATTTGCTTTCACATCTCGTGCATGTCAAGTAATTGATAGTGCCCCAGAGTCTCCAGTAAACGTTACGCCATGTGCAAAGCTCTGACTTCAGTTGGAGAATGTAGTCGTTGATATCAAATGTCACATCAGGAACATGATAAAAAATGATGTGACCGAATTTGCTGACTGATAGCCTATAAATAAAAAAATGAATAAATAAATAAAAAATCCATAATTACTCAATGAGCAAAAGGGTGACATTTTGATCTTAAGCAGAGCACACAGATACTACACTGATCCTACACAGATGGCTGGGTAATAACACTTTGATTCTAAACAAAGCACACAGATACTACACTGATCCTAGGCAGATGATCGGAGAAGAACTCTTTGAACCTAAGAAAGGCACACATATACTACACTGATCCTAGACTGATGGTAGGGAACAACACTTTTATCATAAGCAATGCACACAAATACCACACTGATCTTAGGCACAGAGCTGGGGAGCAACACTTTGATCCTAAGCAAGGCACACATACACTAACCTGATCCTAGGCTGAGGGATAGGGGGCAACACTTTGATCCTAAGCAGTGTACACAGATACTACATTGATCCTAAGCCAAAAGCCAGGAAGTGAAATTTTGAGCTGATGCAGAGAACAGATATTACACTGACCCTTGGCACAAGACCAAGAAGTGAAACTCATCTGATGCAGAACACACAGATACTACACTGATCCTAAGCAGAAGGCCATGTGTGACACTGAGTTGAAGCAGAGCACATAGATACTACACTTATCCTCAGCAGAGAATCAGGGAGTAACACTGGGCTCTTTAGCCTTAGCAAAGTTACCTGTCAAGGAGAAGAGCAACTCTGAATTTAAAACCAGTCTGAAGATAGATGGGTACCATCAAGCTATCTTACCCTAGACACACAAATTGCTGTTATAGCTGTAGTACATACTATGCCTCTAATGAGTTATGAAGCACGTGATTGTCTTGTTGCCCATTGTGCTTTTTATGTAGAAACTAGAAACTGAAAATTTTGATTTGAATATGAAAGTGGGTAACCAATCTGTTGGACTTCATGGCTATAGATTGTCAGCCATATGCATTTTAGGTTGAACCCTTAAAAATAGTAGACATATTCTTTGCATATTGCATTATATTCTTTTTTTTTACTTTCATTCATGTATACAAACCATTGCTAAAAATGCTGGAAAAACAGTCAGCTCACAATCTCACTTCAGAAAATACCTGACTCCTTCTGCTATGCTTTATCTTTACAAGAGTCAGATTAGACCAAAAATGAAGTATTGCTGTCATATCTGGGATCTTTTCTGCAGCCAATCCAATACTAAAGGTGACGATAAAATGGTTAGTTCATTCTTCTGCTCCAGAATGTACCTGACTCCTTCTGCTATGATTTACCATTACAAGAGTCAGATTAGACCAAAAATGAAGTATTGCTGCCATGTTTGGCCTGGAGCTGCCCAATCCTCACCTTAATAGAGTTCAAAATTGTTTCACAGTTTTGTAAGGACAGAATTTATTTTCCACTCAGAAACATTTTTTTTTTTTACTGTTAGTTCACTCAATAAAAGGCCTAAGAGCCACTCAAGATAAAGTGTTACTAAGATTGTTCTAAGGGAAGTGGATGGGGGAAGTAAGAAGTGCATATTATGAGTGTATGTAGGATAGATATTGGTTGACTGTGTATAATATACAGTGTAACCCGGATATAAGAGACCCGGATATAAGAGAAACCCGGATATAAGAGAGATTTTATATGGTCCCAAATTAGAGCCTATGTTAATGTATATAAATTAGACCCGGATATAAGAGAGATTTTCTCTGGTCCCGTCCTCCCCGATATAAGAGAGTTCGTTTTGAGTGACAGTGTGATGTCGTAAATCGGTCAAACAGAGGTCAGTTAGAGAGAGAGTGAAGATCAATGACTTAATCTTGACTAGTCTAGAGACACGGCGTGTCCAATCTGTGTCTGTAGGAGACACCCTCTACCTTATGATTTTGCTTTGTGTGTCTAAGGGTAGCGCCGCCCACTTTTTTGCCGACTTTGCTTGTCGTTGCATTTACTGGACAGCACTTTCACTTTACCCACTGTTCGGTTGAGTCAGAAGTTTGTTAATTTTGCCACTGAAAACCGTTTGCTTGCGATCATTGCGATTAGTGATGTCGGCGTCAGCGTCTCAATGAAAAACTCTGAGCATTTCTGAACAGTTGGAGCTCATCGACGATGTCAAAGTGAAGAAACTCAAACTGGCTGCTGCAGCCAAAAAGTATGGAATCGGTTATTCAACAGCAGCAAAAATTCTCAAGAAAGAAGACGATCTCAGATCTTGCATGCAAATGAATGGAAACACTAATCGCAAACGAAAGCATCACAACTGGCCGTAAATCTTGAAGTTGATTTTGAACCGAGCAATGGCTGGCTCATGCGCTGGAAGCAGGCCAATAACGTTTCGTTCAAAAAATTTCATGGCGAATCAACGTCAGCAGATCACGGTTCTGCCAACGAATGTGTGGCAAACGTTTTGCCGCAGCTTTTTCGTGGATATGATCCAAAAGATGTTTGGAACTGTGATGAAACGGGAATTTTCTACAAAGCCATGCCGTCTGGATCTTTGCGATTTGCCGGCGACGGACAGTCAAATGGGATAAAAGTTCCCAAAGACAGACTCACGATACTTCAGTTCACAAACATGGACGGCAGTGAAAAGCAAGCTGTAGTTGTTGGTAAGTCGACAAAACCACGGCAAACAGATTTTGACGAATTTATCAGCTTCGACGACCGTAAACATTGTTATGGAGAACTGACTGACACAGACATCACACGTGGTATAAAATCGGATGATCAAGATTTTGACAAAGATGATGATGCTGAAAGCGTAAGTTCTGAAGTTTCTGAAAGTGACAAACCAGTGCCAAATTCTCTGGCTGCATTGAATGCGCTTGAAACTCTGACAGCCTACTTTGAAGCAAAAAGCAGTAATCCTGATGGCACATTGAAAATGATTTACGGACTGTATGAAAGTGTTCATGATGTTAACAAAGAGATTTCTGTACAATCAAAATGACTGACTTTTTAAGAAAAAGTAATTTTGATTGAATTATTTTGAAAACTGATTGAAAATGTATTTTTGTCTGTATTTTTTATGTCTATAACTGTTAAATAAACTAGTGTTCTGTACGTAAAAAGCATTATATGAAGTGTTCCCATATTTACCTAAACAAAATAGACCAAATCCGGATATAAGAGAAACTCGGATATAAGAGACTTCTTCACCGGTCCCAACAACTCTCTTATATCCGGGTTACACTGTATATAAAAGTATATATTAATAAAATATGTTGATTTTTGGTATTGAATATCTTTACTTTTCTTTAGTTTATAATAGCATTCTCAATTACCCACTGTTTCTCTATATACAAGAAAGTGCTGAAAAGTTCTCAGCTTGATCAGTTTCCTAAAATCTGATCAAATGATCAAATTTCAAACTTTCCTTTTGCAAAGGATTTTTATTCAGGCTGAGAACTTTTCAGTACTCCCTTGTATGCGGGTTATCAATATATATGTTAAAGCAGAGATTGTTCAGCTTCTTACCTGCTTGGTAAACATTCAATTCTCTTGGCATACTTAGGTATGAGCAACTTGCTGCAGTAGGAACATCTAAAAGAATAATTGGAAAATCATGAAACAGGCTTTATGACAAGATAGAAGGTAGCACCGAAAATGGTGATAGTCATAGTGAACCTAGCTGTTTCTGTTATACTCTGTTTAAAATTAGATCTCTTTCTGATTCACTCCATAACAACACCTGTTGGCTGGATTTGAACGCTATGAAAACAAAAATAAAAAAAATTGCTCTCTATGCAGAGGTTTCAAGCTTCACATCTGACTCACAAACCAAATCCTCCAAAAATATAAAATACAATTTTAATGCTGAAGCCAATCACAAATGTTGCTGCTTAAAGCAAAAGCAGGACTAAAAAACTCTGAGTCATGTATCAACCCTGACTGCTTAAAAGGACCTATTCGCAACACTCAAAGCAGTAGGCAGGCAGTCACAGAATTCAACAGTGGCTTCCTGGTCAACCTACCTGACACAAGCTTCAATGGCAAGCCCATACACAACCAACTCTCCCGATCATCCAAGTCGCTTCCCTCGTTCACACAGAGATATTCTGCCCAGATCCATAATACCAGAAATATAGAGAATGTTATTTTAACATATCTTGTCGTCTTTTCTTTCCACCTTACTGACAGTCCTTTGTTGTTTTCATTTGTTCTCTTGCAATCATATGCAGTATATGACATTGCCATACAAATGTTATAATGAGTATATAGCTGCAAAGGAAGAAAAAACAAGTTTCAACAGTGTGTAGTGATCAAATTTCAGAATCTACACATAATTGTGTGAAACTGTAATGAATTGTTGATATGTGCTCCTTTAGTTGCCATTGGTAAGAGAAGCAATTAGGTGTAAGGGCATTAGTGGTAAGACTTAGATTTGGCAGATTAGTTGACCGAGGTCATGGTTGGTGTCAGTTGAGAGGCCTGGAGTGGATTAGTGAAGCCATGTGGTAGCACGTGTGGGATGTTGTTGGCAGGATTGATCTATTTATCTTCAGGGTTGAAATAGACAACCAGTGAGGTGTGTGGATGGGCTGGAGGTCATGTGATGAGATCAATGAGTTGAGCTGAACTGCCTATTGTAGAGGCATGTTTTTATATCTGTGGTTTAAAAGGTGTAGGCTCAAAGGCTCAACCCTTTTTTTTGTAGCAGCAATGTTTCTGATTGTCTATTTTATTTTAGATCTTTGTAGGGATTTGTTTTGTGGAACAGATATGATGCTTAGAGCCCCTGTACAGAAGATGACGTTTTTTATTTTGAGTTTTGCTCTCTGAGCATTCACATCTGGCTGAAATGTCTAGTGAAATGTATTTATGAATCAGAAAGAGATCTTGATCAAAGTAGTATAACACAAGGAAACATTTGGCATTCATTGATCAAACAACATTACTGTCAGTTGTAATTTATAAACTCTTCCTCTTAAAATAGTTTATCAACTAACTTAACCTTCACAAGTCCAGTAACTGTTATCACTCTTCATAGCATTTATGGGAGTTTCCATCTTAACATTTTGTTTGAAGTAGTGCGGAAAGTCATTATCTTGATTATATCATTATTTTGCCCTTTCAGTTACATGTGCTAAAGTCTTCTAACAATGTGCATTTTTTTATTTGATAAAGCTCTCTGTTTGTGATTTTGTAGCACCAATCAATAGGGTCAAATGAAGGATTATCTTCTTTAAGACCTCAAGGATTCATTTGTTTGAAGCCATTTTAGTCATTGATCTTGGCAAATAGTTTTATATAGATAGTTTTGACACATTTGTCACATTTCTGAATGAATTGGCTGCTATGCATTGTTGCAGTTTTTTGTGTATTATGTACTAGTGAGCTAGCCTAAATGAGTTGACTCATTTTATAGTTCACCAATAGAAGGGTTAACCAATCAGAAAGCTCAAAATATTCAATGTGACATGTATGAAGGCAGCCATTTTTTTTTTCTTCCAAATTGTCTGCACTGCCAACCTGATATCGAAGACTTAAAGAATTACTTAACAACCGCTACTTTCTCTGAATCTTCACTGCCGACCTCTGATATCGAACAGATTACGGACTTCACTGGATTCCATATTCAGAGTCTGCGGCAAACATGGTCAACATGCATGACATCCATATGAGAGTCTTGATCTGATGTGGCTATTTAAGAACTCAAGTGTTCAAGTTAATATTTTGGTTTTACAGCATCTTATAGTGTTGATGAAAGAAACCCTAGCAAAGCCTGGGTTCAGTTTCCTTATTTTTTATGCTACATTTCTTATAAGCTATCCATGTACCATATTTGAATTGTTTAGATTTTATTAATTCCACATTCTGAATTTTTATGATGCATTCAGTGTATGTGTTATAAATCCACCATTTAAAAAACGTATCAATTTCACCATGGAATATGATTTGCCACTATTTCTCTTCATTAAAACAATCAGACTCACCTGAAAAGTTGAATTGCATTTTCTAACGAATCTGGATTTTGACTTGCATCAAAAAGTCGTGCTATTTTCTTGGCAAATAATTTACTGCAAAAAAGGATTGAATAAATGATGCCAAACAGAAAAAAAAAAAAAAACAAATTAAATCTTTTTTTTAGCAATCTACAAAAAGTGTTAATACTTTGAATTTTATTATTAGGTGAAACATTACCAACCACTATTCATTTTTGACTAGTATTTATTCCATCTTAATTTCAATTGCTTTTTATTACATTAGTATTGTTACTAGTAATATTATCTTGAATGTTATTATTAGATGAAGCATTATCAACTATTATGCAATTTGGCTAGTATTTATTTTATCTTAATTTCATTTGCTTTTATGTATGTATATATATATATATATATATATATATATATATATATATATATATATATATAAATAGACATAAAACATTAGGCAGCATATAATTTATATACAAAGAAATAATCACGCATAGAATCAATCAGCAATATTAATGCTATTATTGGCTACGTCCATCACTAGTAGTGTATAATGTATGCATTTAAATACTGTTAATCCATAGAGTGATGTGATCTTCATTTACAAAAATGTTGTCTGTTGTTTCCAGTTTATATTTTTTTATAATGCAAGTACTTTCGAATAATCCTTTATTCATCGCCCGGCATATCTTTTCCTTATAAAATCAAAAACTTGGAGATGAAATAATTGTTTGTAGACCGAAAGATGTTGTTTTTGAGAATGTGCTATTATTGATGGTTGTGTACAATATCGGAACGTGCAAAGACGCAATTTTTTCTTATAAAAAAACTACTACTCTAAGACTAAGAATTTTATTTGAACTTTTCTTGTGATGTGGTAAATCCATGTATTCTATTTTTACAAGTGTTTTCAGTTAATATGTCATGAACTAAGTATATAGTTCAATTAATATAGTGTTATGTCTTACTCATAGTAGTTTTTTTATAGGAAAAAATTGTGTCTTTGCACGTCCCGATATTGTACACAACCGTCAATAATAGCACATTCTCAAAAAAAACACCTTTCGGTCAACAAACAATTATTTCGTCTCCAAGTTTTTGATTTTATAAGGAAAAGATATGCCGGACGATGAATAAAGGATTATTCGAAAGTACTTGCATTATAAAAAAATATAAACTGGAAACAACAGACAACATTTTTGTAAATGAGGATCACATCACTTATGGATTAACAGTATTTAAATGCATACATTATACACTACTAGTGATGGATGTCGCCAATAATAGCATTAATATTGCTGATTGATTCTATTGATTATTATTTTTATATATATATATATATATATATATATATATATATATATATATATGGCCATTTTATATATATATATATTTATATATATATATATTTTTTATATATATATATATATATATATATATATATATATATATATATATATATATATATATATATATATATATATATATATATATATGAATGTAAAAAAACAAAAAGAATATAAATTCAGATGTTCATAAATTAATTTTAAAAAAGGGTTCAATATAAGAAGTAGAGCAATAAATATTTATTATAAACTGTTACAATGGAACATGCAAGTTATTGCAACAAAAATGCATATTTGTTTTGACATCTAAAGACGTCTCATCAGGCAGTTAGCAATGGTGGTAATAAACAATTTTATTTAAAAATATGATTTATGAAACATCACTTCTTTTTAGATTTTTGATAATTTTCCATAGAAGGCAAAGAAGCAAGTATATAAAAAAGAAATTTATTCATTCCATATCAGGAAAGAGAAAAAAGCAAATTAAAGTAAAAAATGAACGAAAATAAGAAATCAATAAAAAGAAAAAAAAAGAAAGAGGAAAAAAGAAAAGGCATAAAAACCATAAGAAATCAATTCGACTACAAAGAGAAGGGAAAGAAAAGAAAGGAAAAAGAAGGAGAGGAATATATCCAAATTTTATAGATACAAATGAAAAGGAAAGAGAAAAAAATAAGAAGTAAAAGTTATTGATACCAGATTTAACCAATGAAAATACATTAAGATTGAAAATTCAATAATGAACGGAAATATAACACGACAAGATAGGAAACATAATACAATGTAGCAATTCAAACTTTATGACATTTTGAATGAAATCACATATTCCAACAAAATTAAACATAGTACGTAAATAAAAGACACTTTAAAAAGAAAACCATATACACACAAAACAAACTACTTAACTATACCAACCTTACATTATAAATTAGAATACAAATTAAATTTTAAACATTTATATGACTTTTATATTTCTTTTGTTTTAATAAAAGTGTATTGCATCATTGAAAAAAAAACAACAAAAACAAACACTGAATTTGGAATGGCCTATTCATGTACCTTTGGATACAAAAAGAACAAATAAGTCATTCAAAATATAAAAAAAATAATGAAGAAAAGTTTAAGTCATACCTTTTAAATTTATCTTTCTTATCTTTTATGTCATCAACTTCTGTGTGAGTGAATAAGTCTGAAATCCTGAATGAATATTGATTAGATAAGTAACTTCAAGAGATTAATAATAATAATAATAATAATAGAAGAATGATGAAGAAAAAGAAGACGATTGGGTCCAAACAAACAAACTAATAAAAGCCAATAAGCTGGATATAACTGCCAAAGATTTGCTGGTTAAAAGGGATTGTTCATTAATCTTTCCCACCACCACAAAGTTGCCTCCCTGTGCCTTTTCTACAAATACTTTTATGGTAATTATTTGGATGAACACTTTGCTATGGGACTTAAACTTTATAAATTTAAGTGCAGTATTAGACTGGCGATGAGGTCACCAGTCTAAGTTGAGTTGGCTAGATGTAGCCATAAATTCTATGCAAACAGGTTCTTTTCTTGCACTTCTCACTTGTGGAACTCTCTTCTGGTTCTATGCTTCCATGCTAACTTTAATCTCCAAAAGCTTAAATGCAATGTCAATCACTATCTAGTGTCCTCCTGGTTACTGTTCTTTTGTTCTCGCTCCTTAGTAATGTTTCTGTTTTCTAATACTTCCACACCTAGTAACTCATTGTACATTATTGGCTTTACTGCCTTGGTTGGGTTGATTGCAATAAAAAAAAAAGAAAAATTCTTCAACAAATTAATTAAATCCAAGGAAGATGTGACATCTCAAAACTCAGCCAATCTCAATTGTTTTTGATGCACTAGGGACAGTACCAAAAACATGGGATCACATGGGTAAACATGGATGTTCGTGCCTGAAAAAAAAAATAGGATGGTTTTCCTCTATTCTTTTAACTACCTTCACTCCTCAGCAATGTTTGTTCCTTTAAAAAGCGATTAAAATTGTAAGAAAACATAAACATATAATCATCATCATGGATTGGCTTCACAAAACAAAGATCAAGAGGGAATCTGTACATGTCGCTTGCAGGCACATTTGTGACTGATGTCCAATGCAGAACAGGCATACACAGTCACGGTAGTTACAGCTGAAAGTCTGACCTAGGCTCGATGGCATAGCATTGCAGTACTTCCTCCTTTGCCTCTTGTCCCTGAGAATGGCCCTGCAGGTATTTTCAACAAAAGAGACAGCAGGGTTGGTGGTCAGATGCCGAGCATCATGGTTTTCAGTAAGGGTTGACAATTGGCAATGGTTGATGTGACAGGCACCAAAGGATTTTTTGGGCAATCATTGAATCACTTCTTTGGTGCCCCTCTGTTGTGATAGCCAATGGAGAGCACACCGTACAATAAAATTTTAGGCAAGTGATGAATCCCCATTCTGGAAACGTGTCCAACCCAGCATAGCTGGGACTTCAGCAGCATGGCCTCAATGCGGGTGATCTTTGCCTAAAACTTAAACATATGATGAAAGTGAATTTATACGTTTTTTGTTCTTAAGAATTTAAAACAAAAATATTAACCACTATTTATTAGACAGTTTATTTACACTATTTATTTATTAAATTGTTTTTTGTAATGGTTAGCAAATATCGGCTGATTACCAATTGATTCAAACTTGACAAAATACTCCATTTTTGGTCTGATCAGAATCTTGTAAAGATAAAGCATGGCAGCAGAAGTTAGGTATTTTCTGAGGCACTTCAAAGAACCAAATATTTGCCCAACATCTATACACATTCGATTTGAAGTCAGGAGTGATCTTCAGCCCCAGTAGGCATTTAAGGCAAGAAGCCTCTATTTGAGGCCAAGAGTGATCGGCAACCCCAGTAGGCATTCAAGGCAAGAAGCTTCTCTTTGAGGTCAGGAGTGAGCTTCAGCCCCAGTTGGCATTCAAGGCCTCTATTTGAGGTCAGGAGTGAGGTCAGGAGTGAGCTTCAACCCCAGTAGGCATTCAAGGCAAGGTTTGGTGCAAGCTTAGGGTTTGCTGTTGAAATTTAAAGGTAGCTTGTAAAGCAAATGTAACAATACAATTTCTCACACATCCTTTGGAGATAAACAGACAGATTCTTTTTCCTTTTAAGTCAATTTAATTACCAGAGTTTTCAGGATTCTTACCTCCAGCCCACCTTTGAATTGGCAAACATAAAATTTTGTTATTGATTTTAGATAATCATAAAAGTAGAGTCTTTGAAAAACTGACCACCCATCCAGTTTTTGGATGGTCTCCTTTTCCAGAACACAAGTGGACAGATAAAGGTGGTGAGGGTGAGACTAAAGAGTAGTCAGTGACAGTCAGTCAGTGACGAAGGGACCAGTGAGCAGTGAGGAGTCTACACTGGCCAAGATGATCAGTGAATATAAGTGTCCTCTTTCTGTGACTGAAAGTTAGTAAGATAGCAGTTCACCTCATCAAAGCTGAAGAAAACATTGCCGATTTAGTGAGATGAGAAATTGTATTGTTGCTATTTCTTAACCAATGTCTTGAAAAGCATTTGTCGTTATTCTTTGTTGAATTCAATCATGGCCAAGGAGACAAACCTGTGAACATAGCTAGCCGAGTGTATATACTCATACAACTTATCTTATATGTCATCACAGTTGTACAGTGATGGACATGTGGAATGCATCAGAATAATAATAATAATAATAAAGATGAATGCTCTAACTCTGCACCAGGCATGACTCTCATAGTTGGTTGGTTGGTTGGTTGGTTGGGTTTTATGGCATATCAACCACTGTAGGTCATTTAATGCCAAATTAAGTTATATATATATATATATATATATATATATATATATATATATATATATATATGTGTGAAAAGTGTATATAAATATAAATAAATATATATATGTATAATTATTTATATATTATATGTCTGTACTTATTAGAAAGCTCAATATCAGAGATAGAGCTAACATATTTGTTTGGATAGATGTGAGTTTGTGACTCTGGGTTTCACGTTTTAGCGATCGTCAGACAAACTGATCAGTTTGTCTGACGATTGCTAAAGCGTGAAACCCAGGGTCATAAACTCACATCTATATAACCAAATATATATATATATATATATACCTATGCATATATTAAATATATAGTACTATTAAATGTATAGCTGGCAACATTATTTTTCCCAAAAAATACAGCTGGCGACATTATTTTTTCAAAAACGTATAGCTGGCAACATTATTTTTTCAAAAAACGTATAGCTGGCAACATTATTTTTCCAAAAACATTATCTGAGGTCTTGCTGTTGGACGTAGTTTATCGTCATACCCAGGACGCGGATGTATTTTATCGTCATACCCAGGACACAGATGTAGTTTATCATCATACACAGGACACAGATGTAGTTTATCGTCATATCCAGGACGTGGATAAGATCTGGAAAAAAACTAGGAGTTCACTATTTGCCCACAGCTAGGACCCTAACAGGTGCTACCACCCCAGGTCAGGGTGGACCTGGAACACCAGCAATTAAGAGGTGGTTCCACACACCTCAAAACCTCCTGATCAGAGGCCTTGCTGTTGGATGCAGTTTAATGTCATACCCAGGACGTGCTCTCATGGCTTCTGATCTTAATTTATTGGTGTTAACATGTACATGTTTTGTCTTACTGAATTAAGACAGGCTACAGTAAATACCCTGTTCATGATTGATTAACTGAGTTGTTTTTTATGGCCTATCAACCTTTTGTATGTTATTTAATGTCAGAATATATTTTTTAGATTGCGAGAATTTTTGGCGGTAATAATGATTTATTGATACAAATCTTATTAATTAACCCATAGCTCAGAGCAGAAGTGGTGGATTCATATGTTTCCCAAGGGTATCAGCACATGTGAATATAATGAACCCAACTGGAATTGGATATTGGAGAGCTGAGTTCCAGTTCTGAGCCGTTATCCATTATACCACCTGCACGTCCATCTTAGACACCTGCTATTTATGAGCAATCACCCACCTAAGTATTGACCAGGCTCAGCATTGCTTAACATCGTTGATTACACTTTCACTTCTTAATAATAAGAAGAGCAAAAAAGTAAAAGAAAATGAAAAGAAAAAAAAGAGAAATGAATAAAAAGAGGAAGAAAATACCTGTGTCACTTTGATGGCATGATGCAGTCTCATTGCATAATAGTGAAAAGAAGAAAAAAAAGAAAAAAGAAAAAGAAGAAAAAGAAAAGAAAAAGGAGAAGAAAAAGAAAAAGGAGAAGAAGAAAAGAAAAGAAAAAGAAGAAGAAAAGAAGAAAAGGGAAAAGAAAAGAAGGAAAAGGAAAGAAGAAGAAAAAGAAAAGAAGAAAAAAAGAAAAAGAAGAAGAAAAGAAAAATGAGAAGAAGAAAAAGAAGAAAAAGAAAAGAAAAAGAAGAAAAAGAAAAGAAAAAGAAGAAAAAGAAAAGAAGAAAAAAGAGAAGAAAATAAAAAAGGAGAAGAAAAAGAAAAGAAAAAAGAAGAGAAAGAAAAGAGAAAGGAAAAGAAGAAAAAGAGAAAGAAAAAGAACTAGAACAAAAAATAATTTGGAATAGCATAAAGTACATGGAACAGATAATAAATTAATTTATAAAATTATAATTAATAAAATTTATTTGAAGTTAACTTCATTTTTTACAAAGAAGTATTAATTAAAATGAAAAAAAAAATAGATATGAATAGATTCAGATTAAGGGGTCAAGACACGTGAATTGAAATTGATCATTGTCATTAGATTCAGATAGAAAGATACAAAGTGATGCTGGAAAGGTCTCAGCAGTAAGGATCCACTTTCCAAAATCTGAGCAAATGACGAAACCCCAAATTTCTTTTTTTGAATCCCTTTAATATATTGTCTGCTTGAGCTCAATAACAAAATCTGACTTCAAACACCAACTTTGTAATATTGTCATGAGTTGATTTATAGCATCAACTGAAGTCTTAACATTTTTTTTTCCCCGCTAAGAGAATCATTGCGAATAAACTCATTGCTGGCAGCCACAGATAAAAATGTATCAGAAAATGCCAAGCAGAAGATAACATGTAGTTGGCACAAAATAACTCATAGTAAAAACTGCCAACTATGAGTTATTTCATCATTTACAGTCAATGTGTTAAATCTGGGCTAGGAATTTTTCAGTGACACTTTTATGATAATTCTAAACTTACCGGCTGACTAGTTTGTCATTGATACAGTTCATATTACTTGGAGCCCTTAAGATCTCTGACATATGGTCATGGCAGTAAATAATACATTTCTGTACCTGCAAAGAATAGAAATAATGAAAATAACTCAAAGATAGTAAAAGGAATTCCTTGCAGGCAACTTTGTGTTCTTTACTGTTGTTTTTCAATCTTTCAGACACAGGAAATGAAAATAAATGTGATTATAAGAAATAAAATACCTATTTTCTTTTAAAAGATATTTTTTGTTATCATCATTGCTATATTCATTATATTTTTTTTCTTTAAATAAAATCGCCCCATGCAAGGCGTGAGTGCCACTAGCAAGCAAGGGGTTACAAAGAGTGAGAGTAAAGGGGAGTATTTGGGAAAAGGATAAAGAGAAGGACAGAGATCAAGGTCAAGGCATCAAAAGATGTTGACTGACATTACATTCGAATATTTGAAGATTATAGCTATCAAGGAAGCAAGTGATAGGAAGGGAGTTCCACTGATGGGGGGGGTGCGAAATAAGAAGCTGTTGGTGTAGAAGAGATGGCTACATTTAGTCGTTTCGACAGTGAAAGGGTGGGACCGAGATGCCAATCTAGTAGCACATCTAAATTCATGCAATTTGGGAACCAGTGAAAGTAGCTCATTGGAGCAGTTGCCATAAAAGTACTTATAGAAGAGACAGAGGGAAGCCACAGCAAATCTATGAGATAGCGACTACAGATGAGATGCCAGATCAGGACGAACCACACTGCATATCTGTCTCTGGGTTTTGTCTAGGACCTCGAGATGAACAGCGGGAGCATCAGATCATATATGGCAACAGTACTCCATGTAAGGAAGAATGGTTGATTTGTAGATTTGAAGGATGGATTCATGCAAGAAGAAGCTTTTGGTGCAACACAGAGAACCAACTTTCCTTACGGTAGATGAAGCTATAGATTCAATGTAGTTGTTCCACTTCATATCAGTGGTCAGTGTGAGACCAAGCAGGCGCAGAGAGGCACTCTTGTGGAGTTGGGCATCAGCCATCCTGATGGGAGGCAAGGAGGGTTATCTTTGGTACGTAACTGAGAGCAGTTTTGTCTTAGAGGCATTAAAGTTTACAAGCCATTTCTTGCCCCAGTCAACCACAGACACCTATCATTCCTGTGTCTGTGACCTGTCTCTCTAAAATCAAAGGTGACTCACAGTGGAAGATTATGACTAATAAAGAGACAAGAATTCTGCAAGTTCATTTATTTATACACCTATGTAGGCCTCCTTACATTACAGAATGCAACTGTGTTTCATAAAATATTTTTTATTAATAATTGAAGTAATTTTACTGTTATTTTATTGCTAATTTTATTATTGTTGCTTTTTATCCCAACACTTGGGGGTCAATACATTCTTTATTATTACTATTATTTTATTACTAGTTTTATTCCATCTTATTAATGTTGCTTTTTATCCCAACACTCTAGCTCTATACACTCTTCATTATTACTATTATTTTATTACTAGTTTGATTCCATCTTATTATTGTTGCTTTTTATCCCAACACTCTGGCTCTATACACTCTTCATTATTATTATTATTTTATTACTAGTTTGATTCCATCTTATTAATGTTGCTTTTTATCCTAACACTCTGGCTCTATACACTCTTCATTATTACTATTATTTTATTACTAGTTTTATTCCATTTTATTGTTGATTTTTATCCCAGCACTCTGGCTCTATACACTCCTCATTATAAGTATTATTTTATTACTAGTTTGATTCCATCTTATTATTGTTGCTTTTTATCCCCACAGTCTGGCTCAATACAATCTTCAGTATTACTATTATTTTATTACTAGTTTCATTCTATCTTATTGTTGATTTTTATCCCAACATAATACAAGTGCTGACCAGGTTCATTGTTGCTTAACTTTGGTAATTGTATGGAAACTAGTGTTATTACAAGAAATGGCTGGAAGCCTGTCTACTCCATGTATTTTGTCACTGAGGTTTGCTCGTCGAGGTGACAAAGGTTTTTTTCTGGCTCCTACCCAGTGACATCACTTGTTAGGCTGGACCTGCCAGAAAATAAACTCATGCCAGCTAGCAGGGTTATGGGAATATGCATACCATTTTACTATGTCAAGGCACTTAATCCTGTATTAACCAATTCTCATTAGTTGAATGTTGCAGTTGCTAGTAGGAGCTGTGACCCCTAGTACTGAATTATATTTACATTGCAAGTGTGAAATCAATTGAAGAACAACATAATTAGTAAAGCCAATTCTTCATATTATACTGGACATGTGGACAGAGAGGAATGAATTAAACTGGTTAATCACATTCATGATCACTTGAAAATAGGAAGAAATGGGATTTTCAGTGGTCAGAAATGCTTGCAAATATTAGTAACAGAATAAGGGCTTTTCTAGTTGTCAGTAGCATGCAGAAAGGGGGTTGTCAGAGGATGCGACAGCCCCAGGCTTCCATATCGAGAGGGCATCCAGTCAAAGAGTGAAATAAAAATTTAGTTTATATTTAATTTGAATAAAGTGTTTATTTCATGTTTCATGTGTTTTTACATAATTAAAATGTTTTCCTTTCATACATTTCTCAGTACTCGGCCCTATAGCTCCCCTGCTACTTGAGTCTTAAGGGCATACAATCAAGGAGTTGGCCAAAAACATTACCAAACCTCTGCATGTCACTTTCAGTTGTATAGATAAACAAGAATCAATAGACCGATAAACTGGCTTGATATGCTGTGACTGATGGCAGGTATTAAGTGAGAACTACAATATGAATAACCAATTCTCATTAGCTGAATACTACAGTTGTTAGTAGGAGGTGTGACAACTTGTACTGAATTGTAATTACAATGTGATAAAGTGATTGAAAAACAGCAAGTAAATCCAACTTTTCGTACCATGTTGCCCCTCACATAGATTTAAATAGAGAGGAATGGGTGAAACTGGTTAATCATTTCCCCCAAATAAGAAGAAAATGTGAATTTTTTGATAATGATTTTATGATAGAAATGTATTGAACCTGAGAAAGAAAGGGTCTTTTAATAGTCAGGAATGCTTGCAATGATTACTGAGAGAATAGCAGCTCTTCAGTTGTATAGATGGACATGCATCAACATGCCAATACACTGGCTTGATATGCAATGTTCAATGACAGACGATAAGCAACACAATCAAATACAATAGCATGGGTCAACTAATTCTAGTTAGCTAAATACTGCAGTTGTTAGTAAGAGTTGTGAATCTTACTTACAATGGAATTATGAAAATGTCATGGACACCATTACAATTATACACAATGTGGGTCTAACTTCTAATAATGGATACAACAAAAGAAACATGAAATTAAAATAACAGGAAGTATCAAATATATATATATATATATATATATATATATATATATATATATAACTCTTATGTAGCGATGGAATCATATTTTTAAATAAATAATTATATTTATGTTCTACTTTTGTATCGAGCACTATTTTTTAAAAATAATAACAAAAATAAATCAAATAAGTGTGTGTGTGTAAAAATATATAGAAAATAGGAAAGAACTCGTTAGGTAAATAATCCTAAGTTCTTTAGTATTTTTGTTATTATTTTTAAAAAATAGTGCTCGATACAAAAGTAGAGCATGAATATAATTATTTATTTAAAAATATGATTCCATCGCTACATAAGAGTTCTCATGTTTCAAAACAAGAGCCGAAAACTTAAATATAATTATTTGAATTAAAGTACCAAGCTCTGTTCCATCTTCAAGCAAAATTTTTTTTGGAATAACTAATTCCTGAAATTTACGTGTTTTATAAGCATATTCATTATTAAAATTAAAATTACTATGGTAACAGCTAGCGCAATTATTTAAAGAAAAGGGGCATAAGAGTTAATAATTTGTATCAATATCTCAGTTACATTCAAAGAGGTCAAGTCAGGGTAAGGTTGGGGTGTCTAAATTTAAAGCGGAAGATGACATTGTCTAGTCTGGTTAAGTGTCTATGGAGATTTATTTATTTTTTTTATTTTATTTTTTATTTTTTTCTGAAAGGGTTTTGTGTATATAAAAAAACTGTCATAATTCGCTAACATTTGTTTTTTTGATGACTTCATAAAGGGTTATCTTTTTTTTTTTTTGGTAGGGCATTTAAACTTTTTATTTAGACTATGGAGTTTAAAATTTGTATTTATTATTTTATTGTTTGTTTTTTATGCTAATTATTCAATGCAAAAATTTGATGATGTTGGCAAAAACTGTTAACTCATGTCTATTGTTTAATAAATTTATAAATAAATGGGAGAGTTTCTAAAGTGTCTGCCAAAGTGGAAATGAGGCAGGGCTGTCATTCGCTCCTCTATTAACCAATCAGAGAACTGGTTACAACAATGAAAGAGACCTCTAGATTGGCCATATCCTTTATTTTCTTAAAAGGAGCCATTACAAAAGCATCTAAAAAATGATGTAACTCATGAGGTAATAAAATAAACACATCCCATCTCCCTTCTTGCTTGTAATAAAATAAACATTTTCAGCGCTAAAGCTTCTACTTAAAGTTATTGCTATATTACAATTAGTAAATCCAATTCTTGATGATGCTTGACATGTTGGAGACAGAGAAGAATAAAAGAAAAGAGTTAATGTTCAAGTTTGTTCAAAATAAAGAATAGAAATTTTATAGCTTAAAATAAGGCACTCACCAGTGAATCCATCTTGAGGAAATCCGAGGAAATCAAAAGAGATATAATGTTGTTTGAATCTAAAAAACAATAAAAGAATTTTCAAAGGTAAACAATAAAAATTACTGCATTTCACAGCATATAAGACCCACTTGTTTTTTTACAAAAAATAACTGAAAAAAAATGTTTTTTTTTAAAAAATGCCTGACATCTTAAATACAAAGTTGAAGCATCCTCAATCTTAACCCCAAAACTCACTCACATAGGCTAGGCTATAATTTTGCCTCAGATGGTCACTTCTAACTAGCCCTATTTTATATGTATATTACTTGTGCATCTGGAATAGACGAACCTAGCTGGCTATTCAAATTTTCATTTTTTTTTTATCTACCCACTGTTATTTCAGTTTTTGTTTATTTTCCACTTTTTCTAACCTGTCTTTTTATACCAATTTCCTCCCCACCATTTTTTTTCTTGTAAAATAACCACAACAACAATGGTAATAGTAATTCTAAATTACTTTATTCTGATAGATACAAATACAAAAATTAATTACTTTATTCTCATAGATACAAATGCAAAAATACACCTTGCCCTTGACCACTCAGCTGTTTATATAACACCGGAGGAGGTAACTTATGTCCTCCAGTGTCTGCCTGTGAAAGTCCTCCATTATCTAATGAGACCTTCCATTTCTACCCTGCAGTTCTGAAAACAAAGTAAATGCATTTTCCATTCCATCTTTTTATTCCAAACTACCCTTCTATTCCAGACTTAAGAGTATTTACTCAAACAATATTATTAGTATTATTACCAGTACTGCAAAAGACTCCGAGTTCTTGTTGGAGAAGAATTAATTTCCACCCTCCAACCTCTGTCTCACAGGTGGGATGTGGAGAATCTCTCATTGCTCTATCTCTACTTCCAAGGAAAATGGTTGGATGGACTACATTCCTTGGTTCCGCTCAGTCTAACCTTCATGGTTAGGACCCACCACACAACTTACATAGTAGTAAACCACTCACATTCCCTCTGTATTCCCTCAGTGAGAAGTAAGTTCCACTCAAACAGCTTCTTACTGTGAACCACTACCCTGTGAAACAGAATTCCAAGAGGATGTTTCCCTGATCACTCCAATCTTAACCTGTCCAAGTCTAGAGTTATCTTCCCCTCCTATCCATTTAAACTACCCCTTAATGTAACCCTCTACCTTGAGTGGCACCTGATTCATTATACTTGGCCATGCCTAAACAGACTCCTGTCATTAAACCATTAACACCCAATATCCTAAAACTTATATCTAAGATAGATTCAAGTAAGTAAAATCATTTCTTTCTTTTGTCTTCAGTATAGCAGACATGGAAAGGAAACTACAAGACCTCCTACAGAAGGTAGCGAAGGAGAGTGAGAAGAAGGGACTAAGCATAAACTACAAGAAGACAAAATGCATGGCCATCATCCAAAAGATGTATCCGAAATGCAATTTACAGGTCAGGGACACTATAACCAATCAGGTGCACAAATTTAATTATCTGGGAAGTGTTCTGACAGAGAATGTTAAGTGTGACGCTGAGATCTGAAGACATATTGGGATGGCCAAAGTCACATTCCAAAAGCTAGGCAGAGTTTTACGAGACAGGAGGGTTTTGTTGGCAACAAAGAAAAGAGTACTGAACTACTACGTGATATCTGTCCTCCTTTACGGTAGCAAATGTTGGACAATCTCCTTTTGATCTTAGGTAGATGAAATCAATCAGGCGTCTGGCCATAGTGCAAGCTGAATCCGGGGTAAAGGTGATATCGCACAAGCGTAAGTAAAAGAAACAATAAAACAAACTCAAGAGGTTCAAATATGTTGAGAAATAACAAATTATCTTTATCCATCTGTTATATACAGGAGTGTGTTTCTCTCCCAGCCTGTTTCTATGGATTTGTGACACTTTTGCATTTCTTAAGCAAGTTTTTGGTATCTTAAGTCATTTATCAATATAACTTGCTTTTGGTAGGAAGTCGAAGCCGGAAGGTTGTGGAATTTCTCGGTCAGCTTCTGTGAGGCAACGGTCTCCAACTGCAACTGACTTCAACTGCGAAATCTCTGCACTCAGACTGGAACTGCAAACTCTCTTCAACTGCTGGAACTACTGCTCAAACTGAACTCTAACTCCAAAACTAACTCGAGACGTTCGTTTATATGGATATTAACCAAAACCTGGTGTGGGGCCTGACATGGTTTGGGTTCCTAGATAATTCTCAATTACCAACAAGAATTCTCTTTGTTCTTAGGCCAGGAAAATTAATTACTTCCCATTTTTGGAAGATTAATCACTTTCCATTTCAGAGGTTCCTCCCTCGTCCATGAGGGAAGGTCAGAGGAGAGTTATCCTCTTAGACTCTTCCTCTCTCACATTGGTATCTCATACCAATCCTCTCAATGGGTGTTAACAACTTCTCCGTCTTTCTTATACATTCACCTCCGCCTATCATCCCTGCCACCACTTGACCAATGATTTCCCGGCAGCGTGGATATGGCCAGATTGGTCCTCTTAAAATTATTATCCAGGATTTTGTTTACAAAATTCTTTTTTTTTCCTTCAGCCAAAACATTTACAAATCCCAGATTGCCAAATAATTCTTATCACATCTTTCTTTCGGGGTCACCCCAAATTCACTTTAGTTGGGTCTCTCTACCGACTCATCAATCACTGTCAAAACCCAACACCTGGTTTTTTTTTCTGCTAAGTCAACTTAGCTTGGAGGTCCGTATTTTACCTGAGAATCAAATTCGTTATTTTTCTCATGCCTTAAAATCCTTTTATCACCAAATGCCCATTTTCGACGACGTCAACAGTTTTAATAAGCAATAAATATACGATTTTCTTCCTCATGCCAGAATTCTAACACACACCTGATGGCTCCCTTCATTGGACCCAGGAATTAAAATTAAATGATATCTCTGAAAGATAACTAATATCGCTTCTCTCTGTCTGTACCGTGGTAGTCCCAAGCCAAAATTTTTTATGGCCACATGTGTTGGTTGGCTTTGTTTTTCTTTCTGAATTCTGTTTCCCTTGGTGCGTCACTCTCTTATCATGACATTAATCAGTTTTGACAGAATCTCATATCTCACTTTTTCTTGCAGATTTTCTGTCTCATGTGAAAAGTGTCTTTCTCCATAAATAAAATAAAACCTTTTTTAATGTCGATCAGTCTATCTTTCGATATAGCTCTTTCTCGCCTTAAGTCTTTCCTGTTTTTAATTTCTATGGTTAATTAGTTAGCCAATTACCATAGCTAAATAGTGTCACAGCTGTAATTTCTGGGACATATCATGAGAAAAGAGGGCTGATACTCAAAGGGCAGACAGAGGGAAAGAGTGACAAGGGAAAGCAACATGTGATATACATAATGGGCTAAAGCAGGTGGATAGCAGAAGAGAGTCTGGGAGAAATAGCAAAAAGACAAAACTTATTGAAAGCTACAAGAGACAGGAGGAGGTGGAGAGCCATGATCGCCTACATCCTGAAAGGACACGGTACATAAAGGAAGAATACTCACCCATACTGGGAACACTGTCAACTCCAGGCAAGTTTCTTTTGGCATATTTCATTAGCCAATCAAAAATCTGTACATCACAATGAACTGAGATGTCAAAATCCTCACGGATATGTTGAGGATCAGAGGAGAGATACTCTCCAAAATATTTCATTTCTTCTATCAAAATGCTACGGGGACATTGGAAATGCTGTTCCACTGAAAGACAACAAATAATATCACTTTTATCTTATACAATAGAATACATAAATATGTGTAAGCAAAGGATTATGATACAATGATTAATATTTTCGTCCCAGAGAGTATTAAAGTAAATATAACCTGTTTGAGATGAACATTATTTAACTATACTTACCTTACAGGGTTCCAAATCCTTTATGTATTAGTTGTAAGGTAGAAGTTTATGTAAAATCCAAATTTACTTATATAGTAAATATAACCTGTTTGGAATTAATATTATCCAATTATATTTACTTTACAGTATTCCAAACCCTTTATATATTAGTTGCAAGGTCAAAGTTTAGATAAAATACATGTTTACTTATATAGCAAATATAACCTGTTTGAAATGAACATTATTCAATTATACCTATCTTAAAGGATTCCAAATCCTATATGTAATTTCTTGCAAGGTAAAATACAATTTTACTTTTATAGTAATCCCTTGCATCTTAGTAGCTTCGTTGCCTTGCTTGGAGTAAAATGATTAAAAAAATAAATGAAATATAACCTGTTTGAAATAAACATTATTTAGAAATGGACAAAGTCCGACAATTTATTAAAGACAATTTTTATGTTTAACATTCTTTTTATAGTTACAAGTTAGTAAATGCTCTGTTTATAATAAACAGTATTAAATAACATTTACATTCAGGCCGGTAAATGTTATTTAATACTGTTTATTATAAACAGAGCATTTACTAAAATACTTGTATCTATAAAAAGAATGTTAAACATAAAAATGTCTTTAATAAACATTATTTAATTATACTTACCTTACAGGGTTCCAAACACTTTATGTGTTTATTTGAAGGGTCAATGTTTAGGTAAAATACATGTTTACTTATATAGCAAATATAACCCTGGAGGGATACAGAAGGTTATTATCTCCCTTTGGAGACGTGACAGCCACTTAGTGATGTCAAATTATACAGTGACGAAAGTGGATAGTCATTAAGCTTATTGGTATCAAGACACATGTTTGCCCTGCCTGGGTTTCCACCCAGGGCAGCCTACTGCCAAATGATCAACAAGCCAATGGTGCCATTTCATTTTGGGAATATATCTTCCCCACATATAAAAAGAAACTCCAGCTTGCAGTTTTCAATTTGGAAAAGCCCAAGACTTGCCGTTTCACCTTCATGGAATATTCATAGTAGATGAATCCAGCACATTTGAATCTGGAGTCCTAAACATAGCTTCTCCAGAAACAGAGAAAAATCTCCATATTATATGTAAGACCCTTCCTTTTTTATTTCTCCTTACACTCTGTTTGCCGTGATAATATATGTTATATGGTTCTCTGTGTGTAAATATGTACATATAGTTTTGTGTCTGTCTCAGTGGTATAAAAGTCTCTCTGAGAACAAAGCATGTCTGTCATTTCTTTTTCTTTTCAGCCATTCCATTTTTTCCATGAAATACTGTTATTATATCATGGATATAATAATGCCCATAATGGGGGAAACACAAATAGGAGAATAAAGCTTTCTTCTAAGTCTCTCCCATTATACTGGTGACCATGACACGATATAATTTACCCGACATATGATATTATTATTACCCATTAACTGTTGAAAGATATTTACCTCCATTAACCTGTTTAAAATCAACATTATTCAATTATAATTACCTTCAGTGTTCCTTACTCTTTATGTATTTGTTGCAAGGTAAACTTTTACTTAAATTCCACATACTCATACAGGGTGCGATGGATAAATTGTCATCTAAATTACGCAAAAATGAAAATAACACTAACATCTCATTTTAACAGATATATTTACCAAAATTACACAAAAATATCTTGAAATACTAAAGAGTAAATTTATTCAATAAAATCACCATTGGCTTCAACCATGGCCTCCAGAGGACTTCAGAATCTTCTGCAACACTTCCAGATGGTTGAATTCCAGATTGTTGAATACTACCATAATCCTTGCCTTCAGTTCATCTTTGGTGTTGCAAGGAGTTTTGTTGGTCTCCCATTCAACTGCGCTCCACACATCAAGGGGATTGCTGTCTGGGGAGCTAGGTGGCCAGACGTAAGGGGTGCTGTGGTTGCAGGAATTGTCCGACAACCATGACTGGGTTTTCCTGCTTGCATGATATGGTGCAGAATCCTGTTCCCCCACATAGGGTCTTCCAGCAGCCACCCTCTTCACAAAGGGTAGCAGTACCTCCTCCAGGCACGATGTAGGCCTCTGGGTTGAGTCTGAGGGACTATGGAAAAATGAATAGAGGCATAACATCATCAACACTAGTGATCATTTCAAACACCATGATGTTGACTGGATATATCATCCAACTCTTTCCAAATCATCTACACTATCAGATTGACACCCAAACATTCTGAAAAGTTCATATTGGAGCTTCTGGTATGAATGTCAAGCAGTACAGCATGCCGTTTTCAAATCTCTGGCAGAGTGAATTGCATCATGGTGCTCTTTTTCTCACAGACAGTGTCCAACTGACCCTACTATACAGTGCAGTTGACAAAATCAAAAACAAACAACACGCATATGCACCAAACTAAAAATATAAAATGGTGACAATTTACCCATTGTACCCTGTACAGTAAATATAACCAGTTTAACATTAACATTATTGTTATGGGACCTAACTTTATGGACTAAATGGACTATTACTATATATATGGGGAGATTATGCCTCTCGAGAGAGCTGTCTACAGTTGACCTGTACCAGCTAACCAGTCAAACTCTCTGCCTTCAGGCAGAGAGGAACTGAGATGAGGCTCCGTCGAAGGGCAGAGTCTCATTTGGGGATGTTGACTGCCCCTGAACCTGTTTATGCAGGTTCAAAGAGGGATTATTTTTGGCCGAGCCTACAGGCTCGGAGATCCCACGTAAAACCAGCCTTGTGCCACATGTAACACTCGTGGGGGAGGGGGGAACTAAATATCGCTGTCTACAGTTGACGATTTGACTACTGTACTTTGCTGCCAGTCGGACATGCAACACTTTTGTATTCGTTCTTTTTGGTTCATATGTTTTCACTAAATTGCTGAGTTCGAATTTTCTTTCGGACCTATTCTGGGTCCACAACAATTATTCAATTATAAAACAAATAAAATGAATATTATTCAATTATACTTACAGTGTTCCAGACTCTTTGTGTATTTGTCACAAGATAGAATTTTAGGTAAAAGTTTACTTATTTAGTAGTGCACAGCAGAATCAAGCCAGAGATAGGACAAGAACAGTGCGGGTTCGTTAAAGATACCGGAACAAGGAATGCAATATTCATGCTCAGAATGTTATCAGAAAGAGCAATACAGATGCAGAAGAACATGCACCTGTGTTTTATAGACTACACAAAGGCGTTCAACAAAGTACATTAGATCTGTTAGAGCTGCTCAGTAACCTTGACATATTCAGGAAAGACATTAGAATAATCAAGAATCTATACTGGCATCAAACCGCCTGCATAAAGATAAAAAATGAGTTCAGCAGATATACAAAAATAGAAAGGAGTGTAAGGCAAGGATGAGTCTTCTCACCAGACTTATTCAACCTGAGAGAACTAGAAATCCTACCAGGATTCATCATTGGCAGCCACAATCTTAACAACATAAGATATGCAGATGACAAAGTGCTGATAGCAGACACGGAAAGGAAACTGCAAAACCGCCTACAGAAGGTAGCGAAGTAGAGTGAGAAGAACGGACTAAGCATAAACTACAAGAAGACAGTATTATGAGACAGGAGAGCTCCATTGGTAACAAAGAAAAGAGTACTGAACTGCTATGTGATATCTGTCCTCCTTTACGGTAGTGAATGTTGGACAATCTTCTCAAGGATATAAAGAAGAAGCTTGAAGCAACAGAGGTGTGGTTCTACAGAAGGATGCTAAGGATACCATGGATCAAACATGTGAGCAACAATGAGGTTTTGGAGAAGATGCAAACAAAGAGGAGACTTATATTAAACATCAGGAAGAGGCAGCTGGTAATTTCTGGGACATGTAATGAGAAAGGAGGGCTTGGAAAATCTGATACAGAATGGTGAGATGGAAAGCAGGGCAAGGGAAAACAATGCATGGCATCCTTAATGGGCTTAAGCAAGTGGATGGCAGAACAGGGTCTGAGAGAAATGACAAAAAGATAAAACTTATTGAGAGCTACAAAGGACAGGAGGAGGTGGAAAGTTATGATCGCCGATGTCCTGAAGGGACACGCCACATAAAAGAAGAAACTGTTTAAAAGTAACATTTTTAAAATTATAAGTGCCTAATTATTATACCTGATTAGTATTTTATACCTTCCAGACTATATATCAAGTACAAAGTGTAATTTTATTTGTGTAATTTTTAAAAAAAAATAATTACACAAAATCTATAAGACCCACTAACCTGAATATTAATTTTAATTCATAACCATAAAATATAATTTCTAGTTATAAAAACATTGAAATTCTAGAACTTACCATCTTTGGTTTCATCATAAACACGAATAACCATTTGTGGCCTGAAAGAAAAAAAAAATTACACAATAAAAAGTATCCAATATAATAATTAAAAAAAACTGGATATGGTTACCCTTCGCTACATAAACATTACAGACGGAAAGATATTTTTTTTGACATGCAGTGTGTTGAATTACATGTGAGCAGTTGTGGTATCAGTTCAGGTATTTAGCCAAAAATTTAAAATAAAGAAGGCTAGGGAGAAGTTGGAAAGAAATTAAATGAAGATCTTATTTTCTAGAAAATGTGCAGAAGTGTGTTACATGTCTTCTCCCCAACCCTGAAAAGGAAAGGTTGTGGATGTTACAAAATTTGTCTTTACTCACAAGTCTAGTATATCATGTTGCAAGAGGCTGTTTTACCCACATTTTAGGAAAGCATCTTCTCTTCATCATATTCACCCCAAAACTGTTCTCTGTACAATCTAGGATTCACTGACTAGTTGTTAAGGATCACATGATCAACCAAGAATAGTGCATACTAATTGAAGAAGGAACATTAACCCAACAAGTGTATTTGCCAGTTGCTACTTTCAGTCTAACATTTGCTATGCATTGTGTAATATTCAATGGCTCAAACAAATTAAAAATCTCAAAAAAATTATTAAAATAATATCTGATACATATGTAGCATGTAATTTATCCCAGGAAATACTAGAGGTCTGAACTGAATTTAATGTCAGTAAGAAATTTTGATTACTGGTGACTCAAAAATATACTGAGCTACCCTAAGAGATATCAAAGTAGGCTTTGTGTCAGAGCATAAGAGTTGCTAGGTGAATCAGAGGGTTGACCTGGAAGGTGACCTCATAGCACCAGGTACAGAATTGTGTCTCCAAAGATGTCAGTGGATGCTCTCAACATGTAAACAGTTGGTTGGCCCAGCTGAATATAGGATGTGCACATGTAAGACAACTGGATGACAGGAAGTTATATAAATGCCACAACCAAAACGAAAAAACAAGGCTCTCTCATAATTTCCGTCTAAATTTCTGGGATGATGAGTTATCATTATTTACCCTATTTGCATGTGGAGTATTGCCTGTTTGCCACTGAGAATTGTCCCATGGGACAATAGCCGAGTGGTTTAAAGCATTGGTTTGTGAATTTGGCGACATAGTAATTTTGAGTTCAAGTTTTGGGCCAGGCAAAGTGTACTTAGACTCGGTGGAAACAGGGTGAGCAATAACTGAACAGTATTAAAAATAAGGACTTGACAAAACAGTCCTAGACATGGGCAGTTAAATGAGAACAGTCTAACCCTGTAGATTAAATAAAGGGTTCAGTTCAGAATTTCCTGTAGACCCAGACTGACATACACCTGATGAAGGCTGGATGGCACAATAGCTGAAATGTTGTTGTTATGGTCCGGTTCCTTGCACCACGGTGATAGTCCAAGGTAGAACCAATAAAGAACTCAAACACAGGTATGGAATAACACAGGTATATTACAAACAGGAATATATACAGAGAAGTAGAAAGGTTAGTATGAACAATCAGGTTTAGTAGAGAGAACAATGTAGTCTTGACCAGTATCACTATTCCAATGTCTTGCAGTAATTGTCTGAATGCGACTCTGTTTCTGACTGCCTCTGACTCGACTCTTGACTCGACTTGAACTACTGACTTGACTTGAACTACTGACTCACGATATTGAGTCACCCCCCACCCACGAGGGTGTCATGTGGCACAAGGCCTTTTTAACGTGGGCATTCCCGAGCCATTAGGCTCGGCCAAAAAATAGCCCATTTGAACCCGTATAAACGGGTTCAGGGGCGATTTACCTCCCGTGGAGACTCCGCCCTTCGGCGTAGCCTCCTTCGGGTTCCTCCCGCCCGTAGGTAGAGAGTTCAAACCGAGCAGTCTGTTCAAAAGTGAACTACTGACTCACTCCTTGCCTACTCCTGAGGTGCAGTATTTATTAAGTATGGAATAGTCCATTATTATTATTATCGGTAAGATCCCATAACAGTTGTGATAATAACCAAAAGATGAGGATAATAGTCTGTATTTAAATAGTGTAAATACAGTAGAGTTAACTCTGAATGTGTGAAGTGCTTTCAGAATAAGAACTTGACAAAATATCCCTAGACATGGGCAATGGTATGAGAAAAATCTAAACCTATTGATCAAATAAGGAAAAGAAACTTGGAACTCAATCAGTCTGGTTCACACTCTTCCCTGGGCTTTAGAGGTTCATCCCTTGTTCCCTGTTTAGTATCGGATTTCTGGTTCCTACTAAAGTCCACACTATATTTTTAATGTCTCAGATTGAACTCTGAAATGCTATTAATTAAATCTTGACCACTTCAAGTCTACAGTTAGTCGTTATCTTCTCTGCATAGCCCTAAGAACTTCATTTCTTGCCCTTTCTTATGCTCATACAACACCACAAGGTAACCCTCTGCCTTGAGTGGCTCTTGAGCCTTGTAATTGGTGAACGTTAGTAAAAAAATTAGTTCAGAATTTACTGTAGGTTACTCTGATCGACATACAACTGAAAAAGGTTAGAGAGCACAACGACCAAAACTTTGCGATAACAAACAAGATGAGAACAATAGTCCACATGTAAATAGTGTAAATCAGAGTCTCTCATATCCTTGCAAGAAGGAGATCCACGTTTGAAGAAAGTCCCTAAACTTACACACCAATATGCTGATATTACAGTATTTACATTAGTCGGACTATTGTCCTCATCTTTGTCGCCATATTTGTCACAACGTTTCGGCCGTTGTACGCTCCGGCCTTCTTCAGGTAGTTGGAGTTCAATTCCTGGTTAAGGCAGTGGAGAACTTTCAGAGGGAAAATTAGCAGGAGATAACTGATAACTGACATCCATCAAACATGGCATGTGAAATTAGAACAGTCTACCCCAGCGATCGAAATAAAGGGTTCAGTTCGAAATTCCAACCACCTGAAGAAGGCCGGAGCGTACAACGGCCGAAACGTTGTGACAAATATAGCGACAAAGATGAGGACAATAGTCCGACTAATGTAAATACTGTACATAATAACTCATCTCAGAAATATAGACAAAATGCTGATATTAATTGATGAAGTTCAGAACTGAATAAACAATAATTTTATGTGTGAAACATTTAGTCTTGTATTTTTATTAGTTTTTACGATGATAATATTACATGAGGCACGGTAGAGTAATGAACAGTGGCTCGGATTGAGGAACCGGAGAGCTGAGTTCAAATTCCAGTTGAATCCATTACATTCACTTACATGATAATACCTATTGGGAAAGGTATGAATCCTCTTCTTCTCCCCCCAGCTATGGGTAAACATCAGGACAGACCCAGTTCTATAGCCTTGGATGGCAACTCGTCTACAGCAGAAAGAAATCGCAACCTACTGCAGGAAAAAATCTGCCTTGTCAATCATGTATCAAAGGTATATGATCGCCTAAGTGTGTATTATGCATGATATATAACTGACTGAATATTACATTTATAATTAGGGGTGCATATTAACACCATTTTATTAATTTTTTTTAATAAATTTAACATACTTACCCATCATCTTTTTTATCTTCCACTGCAGATTCCTGTTTTTAAAAAGAAAAAAATTGCAGAAAAAATCTTTCAAGTGAAGTCATATAAATATAGGTCAATATTTGATAAGCGTTTGAAAATGAATTTGAGTTTTACTAAATCAAAATCTAGTTCTGAGGGTAGCATAATGGATATCGACACAAAAAGTGGCATCAGATAACCAAGTACAAATTCCAGGCTGATCTGTTGCATTCACTTTCACAAGAATGCCTTCAGAAATATATATATATATCAAGAAATAGATGAGACACAAGACTGCTTAGTGGGTTCTCGCACAGCTTCCACTCAACCTTTTTCTCAGACTGACTCTTTGAGCTTCGTCCTCCTCTATGTACTGTATCCTTTGTGGACCTGGGCGATCATGGCTCTCTACAACTTCCTATCCTTTGCAACTTTAAGTAAGGTGTATCTTGTACCTATTTCTGAAGAAGGCTGGAGTATACAACGGTTGAAACTTCATGAATATGACAATAAAAATGAGGACAACAGTCTGAACAATGTAAATAGTGTAAATGGTTACAATAACTCATCTCAGAAATATAGACTGATCCTAAAGAAAGCCAGAGCATACAATGACCGAAACATTGTGAATATGACAATAAAGATGAGTACAAAAGTCTGAATAATGTAAATAGTGTAAATAGTTACAATACCTCATCTCAGAAATATAGACAGAACTTAATAACTATGCTTAAAATTTGAAATTTTGCAAATTGATAATTTGTTATCAGTTTTAAATGCCATGCAAATTTTTCTTCCTCCATAAATTATAAGTGAATTAAATTTTATTTCAAGTTGGTATCCACTCAGTAGGGATATTATATCTTATGAATAATTTTCAATAAAAAATGGGGTTTTATTTTGTCTGAAATTGATTAATTAATAGAATAGGTTCTAATAATGTGTCCACTTTTATTTGAATCTGTCAGATTTGTTCATTTTACCAAATCTTAACTTATATAGATTTTCTTCACAAACACTACACATCAAAATAAAAGTGCAAAAAAAAAAATCAGTTTTATTATTAAATTTCTTTTATACACTGTGCAACAAAAATATATCCCACATATATCTCCTAGAAATACTTCCCACATAATGGTAAAACATTAGTGGCAATGGTATCATCATCTAGCTGATGTCTTACCATTATATGGGAGGTATTTCTAGGAGGTATGAGTGAGGTATTTCTGCCACACTCTATATCTGGGAACTAATAAAAATATAGAACTTACCTTTTCTAAAGACTCTTTCTCTTTTGAACCTTAAGCAAAAAAATAAAAAATTAATCGACCACTAAACAAAATAAAGACATTCATGTTTGAAGATACAATAGTCAAACAAGTCATTATAAAACAAAAAAAAAATGAAATCATGTAACTATGTTTACAGTTTGTTTGTTTGTTTAATGGTATATATACTTATGGGTCATTTAATGCTGAAATTTAATTTTCTTAGGAGTTTTTGTCATTCTGCTTTCACAGTTCAATACATGGTAGATGATACACAGCTTTTATACATATACATATTTGTCTAGACATAATTGCAGTGATGGTGATATGCATGTTGTAGTCATATTTTGGAATACAGTTCAATTTAAGACATTGTAGGATATTATATGGATTAGTATCATGAAAGAGTTCTTTCATGCTGGTTGATTTTGTTTAGCGGCATATCAACACTTCTATGGGTTTTTTAATGCCGAAATCCAAATACTTTGAATGCTATTATATTCTTTCAACTGCCTCTAAAATGTATTTTTGCTAATTTTACTATAAGCAGGTATTGGTGGTAATTTTTATCATAGAAAATGTATTGCTGGTATTTTTATTATAAAAATGTATATTTTTACTTTCATAGTGTTTTTCATTTTTTTTGGGGGGGGGTGCTATTTGCCCATGGCTTGGACCCTATCAGGTGCTTCCACCTGTGTCAGAGTGGGCCTGGGAACAAAGCAATTAAGAGATGATTCCATGCTCCTCAATACCTGCAATCTCCTGATTAGAGGCCTTACCGCCAGATGTAGTTTATCGTCATACCCAGGAATAATATTTACAGTCTTGGCCACCTAATAAAAGATATTTTCATGTTTGTGTGTGTGTGTGTGTGTGTGTGTGTATATATATATATATATATATATATATATATATATATATATAGCTGGGTTTCAATCCTAGCTAGAGGTAACCGGACGTCTAACCACACTGATGAGCTGTGATACAGCAAAACAATCCGTCTGTAGATGACAAAATATATGCTCCCCCAAAATTATTTTGGTTGTGCTCTCTGGGGAAGAAGTATGAGTTTGTAAACAGTGACTATTACTGCTACTAATGCAATACTCTTCGATAAAATGAATCGAGTTCTCTCAGTCACTGTCATGTTTATCTAAAAATAAATATGCTTAAATACACCTTCATCCCTGCCATGCACCAACGTCTTAGGTAGATTCTCCAACTGATGCCAATTCAGCTGGGTTTCAATCCTAGCTAGAGGCAACCAGACGTCTATCCACACTGATGAGCTGTGATATAATGAAACATTATGAAATCTGTGGATAATATATATATATATATATATATATATGTATGTGTGTGTGTATGTGTGTGTGTGTGTATATATATCAAAATATTTTTGTTTTTAATCAACTCTGTTATTTTTAAGATTACTTGATGCTCTCTTGTCTTGATGATAGTATTCACTTTGCACTAATGCCCTTGGATTTGAAGACAGATCACCAGATAGCAAAATACAGGCGATCCCATTTTGAATAAGTAGATCACGTGATCGCAAAGGAAATGTATATATGGGATTGATCACCATTTCTATTCTATCCTCTATTACTATATAGATCACTCTTTCTAATCTATCCTCAATTACTATACAGATTGCTATTCTTTATACTATTCTTTATGCAAATTACTATTCAAATCACTACACAGATTACTCTACGGTGATTACTTTCTAGTGAGTATCATTGAGCAAATACTATTAGTGCGAATGTTATTCGAAGGTGTCTGACACCAGTATTGTTCAATGGCATTACTATAGTTGTATCAGCGATTACAAAGTCTCTACTACAACAAGTATTACGAAAGTGATAACAAGTATTCATTAACATTACAAAAGTGGCAATGACTGTTCGTTGACATCACAAAAGTCATTCATGTAGATTTTGTGGCTAGTCTGTCTTCAACGTTTGTGTGTAGCAATGACTGAGAAGTGTTTTGTTTAACAGTGACATGATAGTCATATCATGAGCAGGAAGATATGATTTTTAAATATGGCTGCAAATGGTAATAGACATGAGGTTTTCTTTAAATTTAATAACTCAAAAATGAAAAATTTACAGACATATGTTTATATGGTCTTTTGTCCTTGTTGTGGTGTGAGGAACACGACCCCTAAACTTTGTAAAAGTATTTTTGATACACCCTGTATAATTTCATGTCTTTTAGCTTCCTCATTTTGGTTATCCCATTTTATCTTTCAACTTAACAAATAGAATTTTTTTTTTTTAAATTCCAACAAATGTGATATACTTTGACTCACCTTTGTTTTTTGCTGATCCCAATCGACTGACATTACTTTTACGACTGGCTAAGATGTCTCCATCAACACTTTTGGCTCTACCAATTGGAGGGAGTGTCAAAAATTCTGTAGTCACCATGTTTGGAAACATGCAATCCTTGTTATAAAGCAGCTCTTCGTATCTTCTGGAACACTACAAATTGTTAAACATTCAAATATCAAAGACATTATATAAAAAATAGCCCTGGTCTAGCATTAGCATTAGTTTATGACCCTTGACAATACCTTATTTCCTCATTTTCTATCCTTTCTTTTTATTAAAAAGAAATTTCAATGTAATTACCTTAAAACTATTTTGTTAGCAAAATTTGCTTTAATTGCTTGTCACTAAACATTCTCAATGCATCTCTCTTGAAAATCATTAAAAATTTACTCTATACATATAATAGCCCTGTTCTGCCAGTAATATTTACATTAATTCCTGACCATTGACAATCCGTTTCTCCTTGATATCTATGCATTTCTATGTAAAGTATTTAGCTATGAATTTACATTATATATGTAATAGGCCTATTTTCCAATTAAGGTGTGAATTAATTTCTGACCACTGACAATCTTTTTATGGTGGAGTAATGGATGGCGACTCAGATTGAGGAATCAGAGAGCTGAGTTCAAATTCCAGTCAAGTCTAATATATTCACTTACGTGCTAATACCATTAGGAAAGGTATGAATCCTCTTCTTCTCCCCCCAGATATGAGTAAATAGCAGGACAGACCGGGTTCTATAGCCTTGGATGGCAACTGGTCTACTGCAGAAAGAAATGGCAACCTACTGCAGGAAAACAATCTACCTTGTCAGTCATGTATTGAAAGATACATGATTGCCTAAGTGTGCATCACACATGACACATAACTGAACTGATAGCAGTGCATTTAAATTATATTAGACCTATTTTGCTAGTAATACTTGAATTAATTCCTGACCATTGACAATACCTTTCTTCATGATTGGCAATGCATTTACATTATAAGTATAACACTAATAGTTCTATTTTATCAATAATGGTTGAATTCATTCCTGATCACAGACAATCTGTTTCTTCCTAGTTTTCAATGCATTTCTCTTGTAAAATCAGTAGCAATGCATTTAAATTATACATATAATAGCTCGATTTTATCCATAATGTTTGCATTAATTCCTGACCACTGACCATCCCTTTGTTCATGTTTTTAAATACATTTCTATAGTAAAATAATTAGCAATGCCTTTAAATTATACATATTTGCATTAATTCCTGACAACTGACAATCCCTTTCTTCCTGATTTTCAATGCACTTCTACAATAAAATCATCAGTAATTCATTTCAGTAGCAAAAACTGTCTTGAATGATTTGCTTCAGATTGATTCATTGAACTTCTAGAAATATTATGTTCAGTCAAAAACTTAAAAATTTAATGCCTAATCCCATTTTTTTAAGGACAAAAATATTTATTATTTTATTTTATTATTATCTTATTAGCACAGAAATGATGAAAGCTAATCAGGGATTGGCTGAGTCATGGATAATGATAAGAAAACCTAAAACTTTCTTTATGTATATCCTTTATCCTTTCCTTATGTATATCCTTTATCCTTTCCTTATGTATATCCTTTATCCTTTCTTTATGTATATCCTTTCCTTATGTATATCCTTTATCCTTTCTTTATGTATATCCTTTCCTTATGTATATCCTTTATCCTTTCCTTATGTATATCCTTTATCCTTTCTTTATGTATATCCTTTCCTTTCCTTATGTATATCCTTTATCCTTTCCCTATGTATATCCTTTATCCTTTCTTTTATGTATATCCTTTATCCTTTCCCTATGTATATCCTTTCCTCCTTTATCCTTTCTTTATGTATATCTTTATCCTTTATTATGTATATCCTTTATCCTTTCCCTATGTATATCCTTTATCCTTTCTTTATGTATATCCTTTATCCTTTCTTTATGTATTCCTTTCCTTATGTATATCCTTTATCCTTTCTTTATGTATATCCTTTATGTATATCCTTTATCCTTTCCCTATGTATATCCTTTATCCTTTCTTTATGTATATCCTTTATCCTTTCTTTTTATCCTTTCCTTATGTATATCCTTTATCCTTTCTTTATGTATATCCTTTATCCTTTCCCTTTATCCTTTCCCTATGTATATCCTTTATCCTTTCTTTATGTATATCCTTTCCTTTCTTTATGTATATCCTTTCCTTATGTATATCCTTTATCCTTTCCCTATGTATATCCTTTATCCTTTCTTTATGTATATCCTTTATCCTTTCCTTATGTATATCCTTTATCCTTTCTTTATGTATATCCTTTATCCTTATGTATATCCTTTCTTTATGTATATCCTTTATCCTTTCTTTATGTATATCCTTTATCCTTTCCTTATGTATATCCTTTATCCTTTCTTTATGTATATCCTTATCCTTTCTTTATGTATATCCTTTCCTTATCCTTTATTTTCTTTATGTATATCCTTTATCCTTTCCTTATGTATATCCTTTATCCTTTCCTTATGTATATCCTTTATCCTTTTTCCTTATGTATATCCTTTATCCTTTCTTTATGTATATCCTTTATCCTTTCCTTATGTATATCCTTTATCCTTTCTTTATGTATAGCCTTTATCCTTTATTTTATGTATATCCTTTCCTTATGTATATCCTTTATCCTTTCTTTATGTATATCCTTTCCTTATGTATATCCTTTATCCTTTCCTTATGTATATCCTTTATCCTTTCTTTATGTATATCCTTTATCCTTTCCTTATGTATATCCTTTATCCTTTCCCTATGTATATCCTTTATCCTTTCTTTATGTATATCCTTTATCCTTTCTTTATGTATATCCTTTCCTTATGTATATCCTTTATCCTTTCTTTATGTATATCCTTTATCCTTTCCTTATGTATATCCTTTATCCTTTCTTTATGTATATCCTTTATCCTTTCCCTATGTATATCCTTTATCCTTTCCTTATGTATATCCTTTATCCTTTCTTTATGTATATCCTTTATCCTTTCCCTATGTATATCCTTTATCCTTTCCTTATGTATATCCTTTATCCTTTCTTTATGTATATCCTTTATCCTTTCCTTATGTATATCCTTTTATCCTTTTATTTATATATATCCTTTATCCTTTCCCTATGTATATCCTTTATCCCTTTCCTTATGTATATCCTTTATCCTTTCTTTATGTATATCCTTTATCCTTTCTTTATATATATCCTTTCCCTATTTATCCTTTCCTTTTTATGTATATCCTTTATCCTTTCTTTATGTATATCCTTTATCCTTTCCCTATGTATATCCTTTATCCTTTCTTTGTGTATATCCTTTATTCTTTCTTTATGTATATCCTTTATCCTTTCTTTATGTATATCCTTTATCCTTTCCTTATGTATATCCTTTATCCTTTCCCTATGTATATCCTTTATCCTTTCTTTATGTATATCCTTTCCTTATGTATATCCTTTATCCTTTCTTTATGTATATCCTTTATCCTTTCCTTATGTATATCCTTTATCCTTTCTTTATGTATATCCTTTCCTTATGTATATCCTTTATCCTTTCTTTATGTATATCCTTTCCTTATGTATATCCTTTATCCTTTCTTTATGTATATCCTTTATCCTTTCCTTATGTATATCCTTTATCCTTTCTTTATGTATATCCTTTATCCTTTCCCTATGTATATCCTTTATCCTTTCCTTATGTATATCCTTTATCCTTTCTTTATGCATATCCTATAATTTGCACTAAAATATACTTTACATTATTTTTCGATTTTTTTTCCAAAATTAGTGATCATCAAACTGAATAAAAATTTTGACATGTTTAATTCACATAATCCTTATCAAGGATCTCTAAATATATAGCAGGAACAGCAAACCATATGTGGCAGCAATATTCTAAGCATGGATGAATCGTAGACTTGTAAATATATAAGATAGATTCGGGCAAGAAAAATTGTTTGGCATGACACAATAAACTAACTTTCCTAGCAGCTGACCTAGCAATTGATTTGATATAATCTTTTCACTTCATGTCAGTGTTAGTCCAAGAAGGCACAATGAATCATTCTTCTGGGTGTTAGCCATACTGATGGAAGGTAGAAAGAGTTCTCTCAGATGATTAATAGAGAGCAGTTTTGTTTTGGAGGTATTAAAATTAACAGGCCATTCTTTGCCCCAGTTAACAACAAAATTGTATGTCATGTTATCACTCTATTGAAATGATATTTAAGTTTCTACATAGAACAAGGGACATTCTTACTTGTTTACTTTGCCAATGATTCATTGATGCTCATCAAGCATTATCTTATTTGCTCAGTACTTCAATGTTACTTTAAAAATAAATAAATTGAATTTAATATCAAACCTGTGATGGTGTGGTTCCTGGTATCATAGCAGACAAGGCTTCCCAGTTTTTGTAGACAGAGGACGTGAAGCCTTTTGAGTTAATAAAAGTTTTTAATATGAGATCCAGAGTGACTCCAGCCCTGGAAGAAGGTTCAAGTTGATCAGACATTATTACACACAGTATACAAATTCTGCCAAGATGTTACCAATCGAATTTGCTCTTCATTTGGTTCCCTAATTCTGAAAAATATAAAGAAAAAGTTCTTATTAAAATTCCAAAGACTTTCTCTCATTTTAGTATTAGAACATAAATTCAAATATTGAGGTGTATCAAAAGCATTTTCTTTTTTTAAACTCTTGAGGGCTCAGATAAATTTTTCTGAAGCTTATAGAGATGAAAAAATAAAAATAATAACAAGGAAACCAAAGTGTCACCATCTCTAAAAATTGATAAAAATTTGGACTCATTAGGCAATGAGGTCATGTTTCCACAAACCAAACAAAAACAATTCCAAGGATATGACAGCATATTCTAATGAACTAATCAGAAATGGCCCAACAAGAATATGAATGTCATTGTTGAGTGAGCTAATCAGAGTTAACATTGTTCCAAACTAGGACATGGTTTCACAGCTCATGAACCAATCAGAAGCCAGGGAATATGGTCAAATATTGTTTCATATCTTCCCATTTCCTTTATTCACAGTAAAAGGCACCTCTCTTAAAATACTTAAAACGGTTTTGGTCAGTGTAGTCAGATATTGTTTGATTTCCTACCACTTCCTTTATTTCCAGGTACAAGATACCTCTCTTGAAATACTTAAAACAGTTTTAGGCAGTATGGTCAGATAGTTTAATTTTTCTTCAATTCAGAAATTGTGCCAACAGCTTCAGTGACTTTCAGGTCCTATTTAAAATAATGTTTAAAAATATCATTAGTGTAGTAATTTAATGCCTAAAACCTGTTATTTGAAATAAATATATACATAAATAATTTTTAAAATTAAAATAATGAATAATAATTACATTAATAAAATTTTTTTAAAAATCATATATATATATATATATATATATATGACAACATGACTGCTATCTACTTTTTATTTCTAAAGAAAGAAAAATATTTTTCATGTTAAAACAATGCAATATCATAAATTATCTGGTTTGTGTCACTTATAGAGTATAGTGTGAGAGGTGAACGGGATTGGTTGTTAGGTACACTCTTAGGTCTGTTCAACTTGAGTGTTTTTTTTTTCCATTTGATAAAGGGATTGTTCATTGAAATGAGTAACACAAATCAAATCTTTACAGGTCAGGTTTGCTTTGATCAGGGATGTAAGTCACTTTCAGATAGAATTGACAATGACATCTGTGATGATCAGGTCAAATAAGGGTGAGATTCCAGAACATAGAAAATGTGCCACAAAAGGTGAATATGAGTGATGCAAAGTTACAATTTTGATTGGCCTGCCAATGAGAGAAGGGCTGTGATGGAGCTTTCCATCTCCCCCTCTAGTACTTACAACACAGGGCCATTATTTTGACAGGACCACCAATTATATTGGGTTCTTGGGGGCTTTCCTTTCTCTCCTTCAAGGCATATGACAAGACCATTGGTCAAGTATTTATTATTAGCTAGCCAATTAAAGCAGTGTAATTGGCATTTGCACCCTTATAAAAGCAGTTGCCAAAAGAGTGGAAGTAGATAGCTAGTAGACGAACACTCTCCCTGCCAGATGACCATAGTGCTTCAATCAACTAAGGTTCTGTTCTCTGAACCGTTTTTTGAATTCCCTCCATCAGCTGCCTTCATTTAAATAGTTGAACAACCCTGGGCTGTTTAGCCATAACTGCAACTGCCCATCAACCTCTTCCTCCCAACTTAAGAATTTCTTATATGAGGAATCTTCTTCAAATACCTTTTGTTTATGTATTCATGATCTTAATCAATCATTGTACCATAAATAAAAGTTGTTATTTTTACACTTGTTAATGAGTGTTGTTGAAGTTAATTAAGTTCCAAGCATAGCCAGGACAGAGAGAAGTCAAGCCTGATCTTTGACAGTTCTTCACCAATATCCCTGCATATACTGAAACACAATGCAGGATTGGTGCAGAGTGAGCTCGCTGGGGACAGACCAATGGACAGGGACCAGAGTAAGAGTGGCATTCAGTGAAGCACACAGCAACAGGGTCATATATATATATATATATATATATATATATATATATATATATACACAGAATATATATATATATATTATATATATATACAGAGGAATATATATATATATATATACAGAGGGAATATATATATATATATATATATATATATATATATATATATATATATATATATATATATATATATATATATATATATATATATATATATATATATATATATATATATATATATATATATATATATAGAGAGAGAGAGAGGGATATATATATATATATATATATATATATATATATATATATATATATATATATATATATATATATATATATATATACATATATAGAAGGAATATATATATATATATATATATATATATATATATATATATATATATATATAGAGGGAATATATATATATATATATATACACAGAGGGATATATATATATATATATATATATATATATATATATATATATATATATTATAATAAACAATAAGAAAATTAAAATTAAAAATTAAAATCATTAGACACACTGGGTTGTAGATTAATATTCTTTCGTTTTTTTATTATTATTATTCCATTTAGATTCCTCGACTAGTTTCGACCGAAATGGCCATCATCGGGAGGAGAATTATTTCTGCTTGCTGTTGGCAGGGAACTACAGAAATGAATGAATCTCTTTTGTTGGAGAAAATGAACTTTTGTCTGTAGTTTTCATTTGTTTTTTTATTTTTTTATCTTTTTCACATGAATCTTTTAACATTCCTTGTTTTGGTCAAACAGTCTCTTTTAAGTTGTTATTTGAGATAAGAACTGGATAGATACATTTTATCCTGAATTCTCTGGTCAGTTTGACAGTTTTATTGGACCTGGTGAGGGGATGTGTCTCTGTTTAGTGTTTGTGTGTGTGTTATTTGGTTCTTAGGGAGTGAGTGAGTGAGTATGATATGTGTAAGCTTGTGTATTGCTGTAGGTGTGTGTTATCATTTGGCTCATTAGGGAGTGAGTGAGTATGGTGTGTGTACGTGTGTATAATCATGTGGGTGAGTGTATAAGTGTGAGGCCTCCATTCCTCCGTAAGCATGTCTGTCTTGTGTGGGTGAGAAATGTGGGTAGGTTTTGATTTGTTGATTGTTACCATTATATATTGTTAAATTTATGATTTAGCCCGGCTGGGTATTGTGTTTTTAGACGTTGTATCCACTTATTTTCATGGGACTCTAAAATCTTTCTAATGTTATCTGCTCTGAACTTTTTTTATTCTCTCAGTTATAGTGAATCTGGCATGGGTTTTGAAATCGTGTTTTTCTAGGCGGAAATACACAGAGGGAATATAAATATATATATATATATATATATATATATATATATATATATATATACATATATATATATATATATATATATATATATATATATATATATATACACAAGAAAGAGAGAGAAAGAGAGAGAGAGAGGTGTTCTCATAGAATCCAATAATAAAATATAAACAAATAAGAAAATGAAATAATTCAACAGTAACAATGTGTAAAAATTGTGATTGTTGAATTATTTTCTTTATTAGGCATAGCAGAGGATGAAAGACATTGACTCAGAAAAGTTTTCCTTTTTTTTTTCATATATATATATATATATATATATATATATATATATATTTATTTATTTATTTATTCAAACAATATTTTTAGTAGATACCTGTATTTGAAATAGATGGCCCAATTTTATTTTTTAAAAAGTGTGTATTACATCTATCAGCATCCGTATTCAAGAAAACTTAATAAACAAAATGGACTCTCCATCATGGTTCAAACCTACATCTTCTTTGTAGGAGAAATCACCCTTTGAACTGGCACGCTTTTAGTCTGCTCGCCATCACAGCACTGTAATGTTTTATTTTCCCTTTTAAGGAATGCACACTCTATCTTCCAGTTTTTTTTTTTGAAAGCCTATATCTGAAATATAAACAAAGCAATTTAAAAAGAATTAATCTATTCATTTTTAAACTGACATTTTTATTAGTTCAAATCTTATTTTTATTGGATACCCCATGTTTGAATAGATGCCTCATTTTTAAAAAAGTGTGAATTAACTCTACTGGCCTGAACGCTCGATAAAAAGAAAATAAGCTCTTCTTTGTAGAAGCAACTACTGTCTGATTGATCTAATGTGCTTTAGACCACTCAGCCACAAAGAGCATC